CCCTTCCTTCTCCTGAAGCTTTAAGATGTGTCATTGATTCCTACCAGGACATGTTTACAGAGCAAACACCACACTGGACGCCTTTGTGGTAGCATTAGGCCAATCTACATGCACACGGTAAGAATGCAAAGCAGCGGCCTGTCACCTGGACTGATAAAGCCTGCTGACGTCAAGCAGACATGGGAGGCTGTGCCGTTCTCAGGGGACTGCGTACGAGGAGGAGGGTGATGACCGTGGCTGTCGCCCTACTGGACTGTGTGGTGGTCAACCACAAAAGGTTCAAATGTCGTTTACAGGGACTCTAGGAAAATCTACCATTTCATTGTAGAGCCACTAAACAGTCAGAGAGGCGGTGGGATCATTTTACCATGTATTTCAATACAATTGCACACAAATAAGAAAACAAAAACAAATACTGAAATTTCTTTAATTCTCATTCATTATTTGCCATTACTATGTCAGACCAGCGTTTTTGAAGAAATATGGTTATAAACAAAATATTGCTTTAAAAACACAAGATAATGCAATAAGAACTCAAGCTTTTGCCCACCAGATACAATCTAAATGAATAAATGGAGACCGGCTTCTACAGAATTAACTTGATGTTGTGTTTCACGGAGAGTAGCCTATTATGTGCAGCAACACAGTTCATCAGATCAAAATTCACCGTGGACCACATCTGTTTATTATTACTCTCTCCTTTGTTGCGCACTAGCCTGAAGACAAAGAGCACCGTTCGAAGTTTGTGTCCATGTTTCACATAAAGTTGTAGCCCAGCTGGATGTGCTCTTTTGCAGAATGCTGCGTCTTCTTCAGAAATAGACGAAGCAGCACGTATTTTTAGTCGCTTCTTAACTGGCAGCACCTTGTCTGGTTGGATCACAGGCCGTCTAGAGCGCCCGCAATCAGAATCATTATTATTATTCATTTATTTCACCGTTAGTCTCACTGTTCCTCCCTTGACCACAACCATAGACTGGCTTTAAGTCTCCCAGCAACTACTTTATTATAGAAGAAAAAAGGATTGGTGGGGCCCTGATTACAGTGTAGAGGGCAGGCCAGCACAAAGAGAAGGATGAAACAACATGCAATGCTATCCAGCAGCTCTAAGCTCTATAGCTTTAAAAAGGTGTACTCTGAAGAGTCTTTTCACAGTAAGTTGTGTCGTCTGATACAAAAGGGTCCTTAGGCAATACTGAACTCCTCTATGTGCCATCACATACATCGTGTGTGTGTGTGTGTGTGTGTGTGTGTATCGATCCAGATCCTTGCACAGCAGCCTCTGAGATCACTGTATGAAACTGACATGTTTTAGAAAGCACGTTGAGTAAGCCTGTCGCGATAAGTCAATATAAGATATTGCAGCACCAAAAATGTATTATCAGCTCCGGTGTGGGAACATTTTGGCTTTAAGCCGAATGAGAGAGGAGAGACAATAGACGTGAACGAGCCGTGGCAACAGAAAGACGAAGCACACGGTTTTCTCGACAGTGCAAATATAAAACGTGATAGTGAGAAATTGCGCACACTCATGGAGTAACTCGCTAATAGCCAAATGGATGCAACCATTAAACACCCAAAAGATCCTGCCTTAAGCCCCAAAAGGTAAACATATTGGTGTTTCTTTCTCAGAATCTGCCATACAATTTAAAAACTGATCATGGAGCAGAAATGGCGTGTTGATGCATCCGTGCCTTTGTCTAGTTCCTGTTAACACTTTTTTTTGTTAACAAAGGGTTGTATTTATCATTTGATGTTTTTCACACCACTTCCAATGTCTGAATATTCCGAATAAAAATACTTTCTTTGTTCTTTTAAGGACTGTACTTGCATTATTATGCTATTATATTGTCACTCAGTGTGTTTACATGATGGTATAATTGGGATCTTTGCTTAGTCGGACTATGCTATCTTTCGGGGCAAGTGCTATTATCCCAATATACATGGCAGTGAATAAATCGAATCATTGGCCGAAAGCATGTCATATCTGATACGATAGGTGGCGCTGTTAGTTGTGATACAGCCATTTCCGCTTGACCTCAACAACATCAACATTACGAGAAAGATGGCGAACGGAGAGCAAGGTGAAGCTACATCCCTCTACTATCTGTGCATGATGCTAATAGGAGTGCAGCGAATGCGAATGGCGCTATTGGCTGATTTGATAACGGAGAGAAGACGCCGTCGGGATCTCAAGCATGCGCAAAGACGCAAAGTCCAGTTCCTCATCCGATTCACCGTTACATGCCGCAATAGTCGAACTATCAACTGGATCGGATCGAGTTATCCAGGGGTGTTAGTCGGATCGTAGTCGGACCGCACATAGTCGGACAAAGGTGTTTACATGAAACGGATAATTCGATTTCAGTCCGACTAAGCCAGTTATTCGACTCCATGTAACCACGCTGACTATGTGATCAGTGGCATAAAATGGTCTGAAAATTACGCCAATATTTTTTTATTGCAATTACTTTTTGTGCAATATATCGCACAACCAAAAGTAGTTATTGTGACAGCCCTAACGTGTTGGAGGATAAATAAGCGCTACAGGAATGATAAACCTTTTACCATTTATCTTGCGAGCAACCCAGCTGTTTCCATAACTGGCAATCAAATGACTGGGCGCTTTTAAGTAATGTTTGCACTCTTGTGCCTTTCTTCTAAATGGATTTGTAGTTGTAAAGTATCTTTGTGTCTCGCCTGAGGACAGATCGACTTGGACGAGAGCAGCTGGGAATCTAAGCGGCGAGCTTTTGATTGAGGGCCGCCTGCTCTACTTTGTCTTTGAATTCTTGTCAAATACACTTGATGACACGTTCTCATTTTGCACACCAATGATCAGCGGTTTGTTTTCCCATTCGCGCGCACTGCTGTATCCATCACCTGTCTGGGCTCGTCACCAAATAAGTCTGTTCTGTGCCAATACAAGTGGATACAATTCATAGAGGTAGTGTGTTTAGTATCACTGTAGCTATACGATAAGATGACCTTAGGATGGCAAATGTTTCATAAACCACACTGATTATGTTCACCACGATTTTCTCATCTCTCATCCTTTTCATTAAGATAATTCAATTCATCACGCGTTGGATGGACAAATGTGTGCCGTACTGATCGCATTTGTTATTTTTGAAAGAATATGCTAAAATAACAGAACGAGCCGATTCAAATAGTTGAGCATCAGACACTTGGGTGCACTATTGAAGCGTAAGAGGAGATTCATGTCTGTAATTAAAACATATCCATTCTACTGTGGGCATTTGTCAGAAATCCCACAACGCTGGAATTGGAAAACAAAATGAAAGAAGTTTGACCCCGGATGTCCCCTCCGCATTATGCTGCTGCTACTAGAGAGCCTCCATGAAAACTGACCTCATAACGACGCTTGTCGAGCCTATGGTGGGAATTAGGAATGCTGCCCATGGTTCTGGTCAGATAAGCCTGGACCGTTCCTTGTCCTGCGTGTGTTAGTCTGCGTGTATGTGTGTGTGTGTGTGTGTGTGTGCGAGTGTGTGTGTGTGTGTGTGTGTGTGTGTGTGTGTGTGTGTGTGTGTGTGTGTGTGTGTGAGAGAAACGTTAAAACCACCCATGGAGCTGGTATTAAAAGAATTACAGTAAAGGATCCTGCTTGCAATGAAATTACAAAACGGAATCCCATGAATAATTATAAATGCAAAGGGCCGTTCTGTCCAACTTCCCTCCAGTCCTGGTTAAGGTATGACGATGGCCCGGATGAATGTGTAACAAGGAATCAAGGAGGACAAAGGTCAGCTGTTGGCAACACAGGGATTGAAGTTTAAAACGAAGGTGATCAAGGATAAGATATCCTACGAGCTTTCTTACATAAGCGCACACTCAGACTGCACATGCAGTATTTACACACAGCTTAACCCTGCTTTGTTTATGCTCATTCTGTCCTGCATGTCACCTGAGCCGAGAGCGAAATGCTTTAAATCCGGCACCAATGAAACGCACTGACTAACGTTTGGTGCACGGCTCCGGGAGCCCCTCCTTTATGTTTCCAGACTCCCCCCAGTGAAGAAAAATGTCCACAGACTGTCAGACTATGCAGCGACAGCAATGGCAGCACAGCCGTGCGTTGTTGAGCCGAACTGCGTGGGCCGTTTACAGCCACCGTCTCCCGGCACAGACGCCCACGGCCACGCTCCGGGTCCGCGGACGAAGGGTCCAGGGAGCCGCCTGAAGGCATTTCCCTTCAGCGACCCAACGTTAGCTACCGCTAGCTAACTCACCTAACGTTCTGCCAGCCGAGCTAGCAGGACATTCGGCTAGCTAGTTACGGCACAAACATCCGTAACATCTGTGTATTAATTAATAGTACTTCCTTAAGTGATACGAGTTGGCTGCGTGGGGCACCGTATTTTTGGCCATGAAGTGAGCACACATTCGAGGCTGGTGGCGGAATTGTTTTGCCAAATAACGTCCCCGTGAAGCTGGCCCATCCCTCCGCGTTAGCGGACACTCGCCCCTCAACGAGCGGGGCTGGTACGGTTCGCCACGGCGAGCACGGTCCAAAACATCACACCATCTTACGTGACCTTGCTTAGAGAGAGACGGCTGGCGCCTCGTAGTATAGCTGTCAGTTTCATTTGCACATTGCATCACCCACTCCGCGATGGACGGAATCCATACAACGACGTTTCGGTACACATGCTTTGTGCTTTAATTGGCGTTACTAGGAAATGTTTCCTACCGCGTCCCAGCGTACTAACTACATAACGTGCACATGTAGAGTTAGTTAAACTAAGCTAACGGTTACTTCAATTCTTTGACATCTTGCTGCGCCGAATTGTATCGATATTCTATCGGTTTCACGGAACCAATGTGTTTTTTTAAGGTTACTATCGACTACCAACAATCGTGGCCACTAGAAACTCAACATTGAAACGGAAAGCCCGGACGTCCCCCTCCTGCGCGCCGGCCTGGCCTGGAAGCTGACAGCTAGCTTAGCTTCAGCCCGCTGCTTCTCGGCTGCTTACCTCTCTTCACTGCCTCGTCATACGACAGGAATCCGATCCTCGACTCTTTGGCCCCCATGCTCCCCTCATTTCATTGCGATGTGGAGAAGTAAACGTTGTGCATGTGTCTCTCGTCTCATCCGCTTGTTGTGGAATGGTGTGTTTGTGTGTGTGGTGAACGGGCGAATGTTTTCAGCGACGCCTCCGTTCTGTCACGTGAGCGGACTCCACGGGTCAGCTGATCAGCTCCTCCGAATGCTGGTAAACACAATAAGCATGCCAGAAAGAAACGGTTTAATACAAACACTAGTACATCGCAACGTGCTTCCCGCGATTCTCGCTAATTACAAAGATGCGTTTGACTCATAATGCGCAGTCACGCCGAGCTGTCATCTTATGTGCGAATCTGTGGAGCGTTTGTTGTGGACAAGCGCAAGCAGCGCCCCCTCGTGGCGGCGCCGCTAGCTTACGTCTGTGCCGGTGGATAAATGGAGTGGCACGTGAACCAGGAACAAGCACCCGGAACTAGCGATGTTTTAAAGCGATACTTTCTATTATGCATTCAGTTTAATCCAATTGCACATACACACTACGTAGTTCCTGTCCATGGCGCCCTTTCGCTGCTTTAAATGTTTGAAGGGCTCCGGTGGGCGCGTGACGACAGCCCACGCCTCTGAGCGTGTTTGAAACCACTATAGCTGTGCGCAGCCGCTCGAGCTCCAGATTAAGCACACGACAGCGTGCGCGAGCTTGTGTCCATAGCTAAGACATGATCTTTATCTTCCGGGATGAGTCACGTTTGTACCGCTGTTATCCTACTCGGAGATGGGACGCAACGTTCTGCTTTACTGGCCAAATATTATTGGTGAGAAACACTAACGCTTTTCAGGACTAGTATTTGTGTCATCCGCTGACCCAGTTCAAGATGTCAGCCACGGATCTAATTAAAGTGGTGCAACACACCTGTCCGTCCTTAGAGCTTGTGTTTGTGATTGTCTCCTCCAGGATACCTGAGGATCGGCCTTGTGTTTGCTGCATGGGCCTCCTGGGAGACTCCAGCAGTGTTCATCCCTCTCTACTCAACACACGTCGCTCTTGATGGTAAAGGTTGCGAGGTTCATTCTGGCATCTATAGATAACCAATGGTGAACGGAACTTGCTTATTTCAGACTAAATAAAAAATGGAACCGTAGTTGTAACTAACGTATAGCACCTGCCTTTCCTTTTAATGTGCATTGTGATACTGAACGTCATACGATATGCCTGTTATGCCGATAGTCACAGCCGCATGCCTTTTAGGTGTATTTAGGTCTGATATTGTACAGAATGCCGGTCTATGGTGCTCTAGGAAGTAAAGCCATCCTAAAACATAAACACCCGGTCTTTATTACAGAGTGTATGTAGTGAATCAAGTTGCATCCTATTAATTAGTTCAAATGATGGACAACCTGATGGTCCCTAAAAGGTAATATGGATGATACGGAACCAGTGGCGAGCAGAGTCTTGGGTTTTCCATGAAGGTGTAGGGATATATATATGGGGATATTTGCTGAGCTTTGTGTTTGCAATACGTGCTGATGTCCTGTGTGCAGGAGTGGACGGCTGGACGGCGCGGCGGCTGGGCCAGACCTCCAGGTTTGGAGCCTGGCTGGACGTGGTGGTGGACAACCTGGGCCGAGGCATGTTGTGGAGCCGTCTTTCTGAGGTGTGTTTGCTGCTGAGCACTCATCACCAACTGTATCGTACACACATCAACCGTGAGGCTCCTGTATGATGATCATGGAAGGAATGTGAGAGATGAGCTTCCTTCTTAGTTTTATAATAGCTGCACGGGCAATGCTTTTATGACTTTATCGAAATGAGTAGTTGTCTTTTACTTAAGCTGATACTGACACAAAGGCAGAACACCCACTGCTCAGCAACTGCCGGGTGGGCGCTGGTTGTGCAGACGCACGGGGGTCCGGCAGCAGTTGTGCAGCAGTGGTAACGTTTCTCTGCGTCCTCTTGCAGTGGGGCTGGCTGGTGTCTGCTTTGGAGTGGTGCGTGTTTGTGTGTAACCACAGTGCCAGAGGGGACCAGTGGAAGAGCGGTTTCATCAGCAGCCCTCGATTCATCCGAGCCGTCATGGCGAACGGTAACCAGTCACTGTGAACACGTTCATGTTGATGGCACCTGAGATGCATTGAAAGACAGCAGGAGTTGATTTGAACTCGAACTGTGTTTGGGCTATTGTTAGGGTTTCGAACACCTCTTGGCACGTGGGTGGTGAGCGGGCTGCACTGCCTCCCCCTGTGGCTTTATGGGGCCCACAGGGGTTTACTGACTCGCTGGCTGCATCTGCCCCTCTGGATCCAGGCTGTGGGGACGCTGCTGCTGGCTGCAGGCCGCCTCCTGGCTCTGTCAGTGGAGGTACAAATTACCTTTTAAAAAGCATCAACATCATGTTGACAAAATGCCCAAAGTTAATATCGAACGGTTATATCCATAGATATGGTGTATATGGACACACATCAAATACCTCACCAATGAAGAGCCGGAAGAGAAAAGGAACTGAAAGCACCCCCCCACACACTTGTATTTATAACCTACCATGCCAGCTGATGGAAACCTCCTGTGATGTCACAAACTCGTCAGATTCTTAACATGGTCTGTGATGTCACAGGACAGGCTAAGTTCTCCCAACATCTGTTTAGAGGTAGCGGTGCTGCCGTGAAGCTCACAACACTTCAGTGTGCATTTGGCAAGTAGGTTCTTGCATGTGTATTCATTTGTATAAATATATTTCACAGAATGTCACGAGACCTCAGTAATACGACTGTGACGTATGCGCTCGCTCCCTTTTTGTTCCGGACCTTTTGATGGGAAGTCAGAGAGCATTTATGGAGGAGATACTTTTTTGAATGCTGGGGGAGTGACGCTGTTTCCATTGGTCTCAAGAACCACGTTAGTCCCTCATTGGCCCAATACTCCATCCCTGGAACATTTTGCACAGGGGCTTTCCTCACCATGGAAATAGGGTCATACATTAGTGTTTAACTTACTTGTATCGCTTTAATTTTTGCTTGTATATTTATTCTTATGCCGCACCAATCATCAAGACATTCTGTGTAACTTGTGGCAATAAATGGCTTTTACGTCTGATTCTGATTACACGTCGCAATAAAAGGCTGACTGTTCTGGTGTGGTCCTCGTCTTCCTGCTGTACAAAACCACACATTTTAACGTTGAACCACTCAACTGTTCCCACCACGTGTCTGCTACTTCAGGATCATTGCTCTTGCAGAGTGGTGACAGAAAAAACGTATGCTTCCATGACATGCCAATTTTCAGACTACAATACACCTTTAGTTTGACTTGAGGTCGGTAATAAACATGAAGTTTCATGGTGGTCTATATTAATGTATCCTATTCACCTGAAGGGTCTGGCCAAATGTTTGGCATATCAACACACTTAACATTCAATACCATCAACTGTATGTTTATTTTTTTCGACCAAGTTTCCTTTTACTGGGAGGTGAATACATTGTGGTTTAAGGTGCGAACACAAGATAGAAATGCATGTGGCTTTTTGTGATCAATGTTATACGTTTTAATGTTTTCGCAGCCAACAATGAAGAAGTAACAGGACAACAGTGAGACATCCCCTCTGCACATGTGGGTCAGATCCTCCGGACCTGAGTGGGAAACCGGGCTGGTGGTGAGATCGCAGCCCTTTTGAGCATCGTTTCCTCAAGCCCTCGGGCTTTGACCACAGCGTTCGCTTTCAGACATCAGGAGATCCCAATGAAGACCAGTAGGTGATGTCAAGTCAAAGCACGTCTCCTACATTCCACACGACTGTTTGTCAGCATTAGTGATAAAGGAAACCCCCCCAAACACAAACAAGGCTGGACCTCCTCAGCTAGAGCCACTCACAACACTGCTAGAGAGGGAGGCGTCCCAGAGCACTGGAGCAACAGCAAGGCTGACCGCTGGTCTGCTTCATCCACTTAGAAAAAGGAGGCGGGGTTATGAACCAAGGCGTCACATTTCCACTAACGTTGCACATATCAACGCCTAGAAGTCCCTTTTAAAGCCCGACTATATTTTCCCATCAGTGAACTCAAAACCTACCGTACCTGTGATGGCATAGTTTCACCATCTGACTTTTATTCGTAGTGTTCAAGTACTACGCCCGTCCAATGGGATTAGAAGTGATTCCTAACTATAGGACAGACCGCACAACAGCAGCGCTGCTCAAACATCGGTTCTGAAGAACTGACTACCAAAAAGGTAAGAAGACCACGACGGGTTCACCGATGAAAATACCGTGTGCCTTTCCTGGGTTTCGCAGGTGTTTAGTGGGGGGATCCGTCTTCAGAAATGATAATCATCAGATCCCTCCACCACACATTCATTTTGAATGAAAATGAATCCGAATAAGAAAATAGTGATTACGTGTACAGGGTTTTGGTCCATTACGACCAAAGAGTTCAGCTCCAAGATGGAGCAGCTGATGGAAAAACATGGTCCAGTAAACGAGGGTATTTGACAGGAGGGAGAGGAAAGGCGAGATGCACAGGTCGACAGACAGGCGCACACGCAAACCACGCACAATCACACAATATTGGTCCCCATTGTAGTGCCCCTCAGGGTAGAATAGTTTATTTAGCACTTGAGGGTAAGGATCCGTCTACAGACAGATAACTGCAGGTTGGTGTAAGGCTGGTAACCATCAGTAGAGCACTTGGGCCCCCAGGGTTCTGTTTGTGTATCCTGACACACACACGCACACACAGGAAGCCTCGCCGCAGCATTAGCTCAGGGAGGTTTACAAGCCTCGGTACGTGTAGCTTCTTCCTCTTGTTGCTCCTATCCAAGTCCCTCTGTTAAAGTAATAGCGCAGAGCTGTTTTTTCACCATTCACGGGCCGCTCAGTAAGAAAAGAATATACAAAGGGCTACATAAACATCTTTTGCATATACATTGTTGGCATTTTAATTATTGTAGGTACTAAGCTGGAAACAAAGATTTAAAAAAAAAAGAAAAGATGAAATATATAGCGGCTGTGTTTAGACCCACTGGTTGAACACATTCCACTCTTTGTAATTCTCTCCAACAGGCAGTTCAAAACACAACTTCTCTCAGGGTCCACTCGGTTATTTGCAAAGAGGAAAAAAAAAAAAAAGTGTACAATCTGCCGTGTTATTTTACTGTACAAGCGTCAAAATTATCTGACATTATTCTTCTCCGATCCACCAAGTGGTGATCTGGATGGGTGTGGGTTAAAATGAGTACTTCACTGCCGGGGGGGTCGGGGGGAGGGGGGTGTACTGTCGTGTGCGTGGCCCTGGCCCGGTCTCATGGCATTCACAGCTACACTGGTTCAGATATAAAAGCATAAATCTCCCATTCCTAAAGAAAAAGAAAAGGCGAGCGAGAGGAGAGGACATTTGTCATCCTGACATGATACTGGAGGGGGTTTCTCTTCCCAGTCACGTGTCCTCTTTCTCTCAGAGGAATGCAACAGTCTGCTGTGTGGGGTGAAGCTGCATCCGCTCTGGAGTTGCATCTCGGGGGTTTTAAATATCAATGAGGTTTGAGAACGGTGTCTCTACTTCTTCTTTTCACAGCTAAGAGTGTGTGTGTGTGTGCGCGTTCTGTGATGATTGGATTTACTGTGCATGACTAATTAACTGTGAGCAACTGAAGTATCACATTTGGGGCGTATTTAGTCCTCGCCACTCAGAAGCCATTGTGTGTGTGTGTGTGTGTCCCCCCTCCCCGCCTCTCTTCTCTCATAAAATCAGCCGAGACAGGGGCGAGTGGGGCCGAGGCTCTGAGCCAATAGGAACGCTTGTACCACCTCCTGGGTCTGCTGGGGCGTGGTGTTGACGTCCTCCAGGGCGTCTGCCACGGCAAACTGCCGGTCCCTCAGCCGGTTCCAGTTGGACAGTACGTTGTGGTATTCAAACACCTTCTCAAAGTTTCCCACCGAGTTGTAGAGCTTGATCAGGCCTCGGTAGTCATACTCCAGGCCGCTGTAACCCTCTCCAAACAGCTTCTTACCTGCGGGAACGCGACACATGTCACACACCATGGTACAAGTTCATCTTTCAAGAGGCATTCATTCACCAGTCAAAAAGGACCCAAGAGGTTTTCCATCTGGGATCCATGACACACGGCCGTCCCCACAGGCTCTATTACAGAGCTGCAGGGAATGAGCTACCTTGCTTTTCACAAAGGGAAATCCCCTTGGTATGCTATGGGGGACCGAACCGGAGGTCAAGGTCAGAGGATCGGGATTTATACATTCAGCATCTCAGGTATCATTTCTACAGTGAGGAGTGAGGAGGGAAGACTTGAAAGAACACCAAGTATGTGTGACTCATCAATCCATCTAGTCACCCACCCATTAACCTATGCACCCACCCACCCGTTAATCCATCCCATCACACCACAATCCATTTCATTCACGCAGCCAACACATTCAACTATTAACCCGTGCAGCCATCTAAGTGTCTGACCGATGGCGATGGAGCGCAGGTAGAGCCTCTCTGCGTCTTCGTACTGATTCATGTCGTAGTTGTAGAGGGAGGCCAGGTGACCCACAGACAGAGCCACCTCGTAGTCCTCGTGGCCCAGAAGCTGCTCCTTGATCTGAATAGCTTTGATGTGCATCTCCTCTGCCTCCTGGTTACACAAACACAACGATATGGATCTCAAGTCCGGATAGAAATACAAAAGGGAGGAACAAATGTATATTTAAAGTGCCCTCTTTTGCTCTTTCAACACATTTGGTTCCTTTCACGTGACGATGGATAAAGTTCAGATGTCTAGTTTATTTGAAGCTATTATTCAGTCAATACAAAGTTCCAGATCATTTAATTGCAGCTCAACAGGGAAATCCATACAAATAATAATAGAGCAGGCATAGGGGCCCAGAGAGGAGCTGCATCCCCGATGGTGCCACTGGGCTCGGAGTATCTACGCAGTATTGAATCAGCGTGACAGCACAGAAGAACTTTCCACTGCACTGAAAGCTTTTCTTAAGAAACAAGTGTTTTCCGTCCTTCTGAATTTGAATAGGATATTCCAGCTCATCGCTGCATCGGTTTCCATTTTTCTGTGAATATGGCATGATTTCTCCCCCTTAGTCACTACTTCATAAGCTGTGATTCAATCGAGAGTTGAGTTTTATGTCAGATCCGTGCAAGTCTTTAGTGTGTTTTGTTGTAACTTAACGTTACTGCCGTGTTACCCTCTCGTGGGCGGGGCTTATCAGCAGGGCTGGCTGGTGTCGCTACTATGCTAGCTTCCCATTTTGGCTGATATTGTTGACAACAGAGTAGCAGTGGGCCGACTAAAGGTGCATGTGTGGCTATAAGCCTATAGATGGGTTTCAACCACTAGACTCAAAGAGTTGGACCTAAATACCAAACTACATTGATTTTCAGATGAAAATAATCGGACGGAACAGAAACAATTCCACGAACACAACGTCATAATCACCTTGAACTTCCTCATGGACTGGTAGAGGCGTCCGAGGTTGCCGTAGTGTTTGGCAGTCTGGACGTTGAACTCGCCGAAGGCCTTCTTGGCCAGTTGCAGGGAGGAGAGGTGAAGGTCATGAGCCTCCTGAAGAAGGCGCTCCTCCGTCTCCTTATTGTGGCAGTCGATGGCGATTTCCTCCAGAATGAGCGCTGAGGGAAATAAAGGCTGGTGAAGCACATGCTGAACAGTGGAGCCACAGAGGGCTGACATGACGTCATGAACCACACGGGGGCGCCATCAACCCAACTATGACAGTGACACAAAGAGATACTAGTCCCGCCAAAATAGGATTCTCATTGTGTGGGTTATTCATTAATTCATTTAATTAGAATATTACTCCACCCCCATGTTATTAAGAATATTAAACAGTTGGGAGATCTCAGATGAAGGTGAATTGCAACAAATGAGTGCTGATCATGGACTATCATGCGAACAATCGCAGTTCCATACTTGAATCATTGAACTTTCCTTTGGGACATTCCTTCATGGTTGTTTGAAGGGAGAGGCCTGCCTGCTATTCCCCACTGAACCCTCCACACAGTGGGCAGAAGCCCAACATCTCCAGGACACTCCCCTCACCTTTGACTCGCTTGGAGGAGGCCAGCAGCAGATGGTCCTCAGGCAGAATATGAGTAATGATGTCTATGGCACGTTCCGCATGGAATCTGAGAGACAAACAGCAGCTGAACCAAACATTTCATAAACTTAGGACTTGACTGGGAACTGGATTGCATTTCCAAGAAAGTCGAGGGGGACGGAATTGCAGGCCGGCCTGGAAACGGTCCACTTAGTAAGAATCATTGCACTCACAGAGCGTTGTCAAATTTCCCAGAGCTATACTGGTGCACGTATGAGGAGTAGGCCAGGTCTTCATGGGCTGTGGCCACGTGGATGTTCTTCCCCCCGAACACAGACTGCCGGATGTCCAGCGCGGTCTGGAACGCGTGCACACAGAAAGGACTTTAAAACGTGACACGGAAAAGCATATTTTAAAATAATGAATGAGAGCGACTGGCCCAAGTCCTTACCTGGTAAATAGCGACTGATTGGCATATGTTGTCTACATTTAATAAGTAAAATCCGTAATCTAGCAGCGTATCGGAGTACTTTGGATGCTTGTGTCCAAAATGTTCTCTGTGAGACATAAAGCAGCGAATCACAACACATGACAACACAAAGAACGAGAGTAACACAGAGTCGGTGCGAGACGCAGCGGCTCACCTGGCTAGAAACACGGCGTGTTTGATCAGCTGCTCTGCTTTTCTGAACTCCCTCTTGACCACGCAGGCCTGTAGTGGGAACATAAGACATGTCTTTACTACACTGCAGTCCCCCCAATAATACAGTACATTGAGGTACAAAAGAGCGGCGCAGACCTTGGAAGCTTGCCGGAGCACATCAACCACTACTTTGACAGGCAGTCCGGGGCTGATTTCCTTCATGGCCTCGATACACCACCGGTATGCCTGCAGGGTGGAGGGGAAACACCAGGGTTCCACGTCAACCTCGCACACGCGACCCGTACAACTATTGAAATGTCAAGCCGCGGCCCTCGTAGTGCGTGCGGGACACACGACAGATATCATTTTGTCGGGCATGCGTACCTCGTCGTAGTGGCTTTTGGCGAAGAGCAAGGCACAGAGCTCGCCGTACAGCGCCGCCTTGTTGGCCAGGTGGCCGTGTTTGGCTAGTTTGTCCATGTAAGACTGAGCGAGCTTGAAGGTCTCCTCCCCCAGGTGGTACTTGCAGTTACCATTGCGGACATGAAGCAGCCTGTGCACACAACAGGGGGAAACGTGGTCACACACACACACACACATCCCAATAATTGTCATAATCGTCTTTGCAGCTTTCACAACGATTAATCTGAATATTTCTAAAAGCGAATATACTAAAATATTTAGTAAAACATTCTGAGCAACTTGACACAACAATGTCGCTTACATTTCATCCGCCTGTACAGTCTGGAGAGTTAACCCAAGCCATCAGGGAACTGGAGGAGAGCAGGTCTTTTGTACTTGCAAACAGTGTTAGCATCGATTAGCGCTTGTACAGATGCCCAACGCTATGAGGTGCCCAATAATAAACCAGCTATTTATCATCCATTTCTCCCGTACTAAACACTGTGGCAGCATGTGTGAGGGCTCCATGTTACTTCTGCACTACTGAGTGGATGGAACACTCTGGGAGTCACTCGGACAACTGTAGCAATTCAAAGCACGATGCTTTCCTTTGCAAAAAAGGGAAAGAGTGGTGACGGCAGCTGGAGCAGTCGAGGTTGCACCACTGCGTAAGACGAGCATGGAGGAGAGATTGTAAATGGGAAGGGACCTGCTGGTTGAGGCTTAACGAACCCTAACTTACCTCCCTGTTCCTGGGTGAGGCTCTCGGTAGATAACAGCCCACTATGCCGTTTTCTGTGCCTTCTGAGCCTTTCCACTTTTAAAACACGCCTTAAGACCCACTTGTTCACAATGGCCTTTGGCTGAGTTAAATCACCTGCATTGGATCTTTTATTTGTTTGCCTTTTACTGTTTTTTTCTTGTTTGTTTGTTTTACGTTTGCTTGTATTGTTTTATTGATGCTGATTGTTTTTATCCTGTAAAGCACTTTGGCTGGCCACTGGCCTTAAAAAGTGCTATATGAATAAAATTGACGTTGACACTAAATGCCCACACTGACCTGACGCAGCACTCCACGGCCCGGTAGCAGTGGAGGACCTCACTGTGGAGCGTGCACAGCTGCAGGCACGACAGGAACACCTTCTCTGCATCTCCATACCAACCCGCATCTGACAGGAAGCCCCCTAGAGAACCAAGAGCCATCAGATTAATCCCTATTGTCTCCACAACAGAGGGGGGGGGGGGGGTGATTAAGTACAACCTGTGGGAACTCGTTCAAATATTACAAGGATTATCCAAATGCTCTATGGAAAACCAATCAGACAGTGTAAACTGTGTAAACCGGGGCTCAACGGTTCGCGGCGCACCCTCTCTACCCCCACGCCACCGTCGACCCGATATTATTAATATCAACAGCAAATATATGAATGCATTGTTTTGTATGTAATCTAAGTATTATAGACTTGACTGATGGGTGCACATCCAACAACCTCCCCTGTTAGAGACAGTCTGCCCCCCCCCCTGCTTACCCAGCACAAAGCCGAACTGGATGGCCTTCTCTTTGACGTGGGCGTCAGAGTCTGCGATGTAGGAGCAGCGGCGGCTGAAGGAGTTGGCCAGAACCGAGGCCACTTTCACACCGTGGTCCATCAGCGCCTGGAAGCAGTGGTGCAGGAGGTGTCTGCCGAGGACAAGGCCGACGGTTAATATGCCGCTTGGTTCATCAGTGAATAACAACGCTGAGGAGTGCTGCCTTGTGTTCTCATGAAGGCCATCAACGAAGGCTGAAAGCAAGACGACGCGCCACAGAAAACGCTGGAAGACGAGCATCAACAATGTCCCTTTTGACGTTTTACCAAGCTCTCACAGCAGCGTTACATTTGTCAACTCAAGACTCCCTCACTCACTCTCACTAACTCATTCTACCGGTCCGCGCCGGAGGGGTCGGAGCAAAAAAACACCCCTAACACAGTGGCCCCAACCTTTTTTACTTCACGGACTGTTTTCATGTCAGTTCAAAAACCAATACCACATGGAAAAGCATAGACTCCTCCCATTTCAGAAGCCGGACCCAGGAAGTACCCTCAAATTCCATTATAATTTCCTAAAACTAGACTAATAAAAACAGTTGTGAATAATTCTATGTGTAGAAAAATATAAGCATTACTTCATTAGATAAGTAGGAGCTATATACTTGTTTTGCAGTTGTTTTACACATAAGCGGTACAGTGTTTCCCCTAACATTATATTAAGGGGGCGCCCAACCCCCCCCCCCTTAGAAGGTGAGGTCAACAGCCGATCACAGCAGAAGTCATTTAAGGTCACCTCTCCAATAGAGCAGTCTATACCTTGTTTATTTGGTTAAACAAACAGCCATAGTATCTTATTTACACCGTTTGCTCTCTGGATCATGGGGGACTTCTGGCCCAATTCTCCCCCGTCCACTGACCTCTATCCAGCTTATACCACAATCCCATGATGAGACCCCGGATACGGGAATGTGAGCGGGGGCAGCTCTCAGCCTTACCTTTTGTCTGAAGCCCGCAGCACTTTAGCAAACACCTCCAGCTCACAGAACTCCCCCCCCAACTGGCAGAGCCGGCCTTGCTGGTACAGCTGAGACACACAGAGGGAAAAGGAAATCATGCATATGTAAGCACTGCAATCGGGGGCACGGGGATGAGTCTACAGTTAGCAGACACGAGGAGAGGACGTCCTCCCGATGAACTCAGGCGCGCAAACTCATTTGAAATACAAAGACGTTATTTGGATGAGAATTATTGCGTTGGGAGGACATTGTCAGTTAATTAAACAGTGTCTGTATGAGAATGAAAAGAAGGAGTACTTCTGTAACTGCATGATCCTGTCCTCGAGGCTGGCTGAAGGCTGGGGGGGGGGGCGAGTGATGGGCACATCTGGGTGTCACCATAAAATAGGAGTCTCTCCATGTGTTGCTGGCTGTGTCCGGCTAGATGTGACAACTCTTGTGACTCACAAGCAGCCAATTCCAAATTAATACTCATTTCAAAATCTGGACACGTCTTACAGCCCCCCTGGACTCAATAGAGACATGATTCTGAGGATTTTAGGAGGTTACGAGTGTTTCCATACGAAGTAAAGAGCTCTGTAGTTCCTCAGTAATTGCTTGGCCAGTGTTTCCTTTCCAAAAAGGTGCAGCGGGATCTCTCCTCAGTTATTATCAGGTGCATTCAGACGAGCCAGGCAGGACGAGACCATCAGGCAGGACGAGACCATCAGGCAGGACGAGACCATCAGGCAGGACGAGACCATCAGGCAGGACGAGACCATCAGGCAGGACGAGACCATCAGGCAGGACGAGACCATCAGGCAGGACGAGACCATCAGGCAGGACGAGACCATCAGGCAGGACGAGACCATCAGGCAGGTATCGGAGGAGACGAAGGAGACAGACGCCGTGAGGCCCAGACGAGAGGGGGAGCTAGGATTCGGGCCTTATGGCCGCTGTTTATTTTCATCAGTAGTCTTTTACTCCTCTTCCATTGTGTATTAATGTACAAAACTCCCATAATCTAATGAATACAGCGCAAAGGTTAAACCAGCCGGGCCCAGCAGAAGGAACAGGACCTTGAAGAGACACTATGTGACTGTGATGATGACTCATCAAATAAAGACAGCTGCAGTAGCAATACTAAAGAGATAAAGATATGGAGACATTCTTTTCAGGAGAAATTAAATAGTCTCGTTCCTTCTTTTCTCCTTTTCTGAAGAACAGCAGAGCAAGGTGAGAATTACGCTGACGTGAAGACGTGAATTACGCAGCATTGAGCGTTACACTGAAAACTGTTGCCAAGGATTCGTTTTCATCTTTTACGCATCACGTAATTATTAGGTAAGAAAACTAAACAGAATTTAAGGAGACTAACCTGAAAGGTACTTGATTTAATGTAACATAAGACAACGTCTTTTTTCTTTTGGCGTAATAGACATTTATTAACAATAATATATTGTATATTACTGTCGTTTCACTGAAACCTGCTCTCCATTCGCATTGTTTCCTTCGTGTGACGGAAATTCACCGTAAAAGAAACTTTGTTGACACGTCTTTTAGCATTTTTTCGTTTGTGTTTTTAACAGCGTCCTCTAGCGGCGAGGAGAGGCAGATGTGATGCTGATCCACAGCTGCCTGAGAGGTAGAATAGTGGACTGAATGAAACGATCTTCTCTGGGCTCAGCTTGCTGTTAGTGAACAGGACCAATGGGCCGAGTCAGAACAGAGGGCTCGATCTGTCCCGGGAGTAAACGTTATGTCGATCCGGCCTCCGATGCAGTCATACACCATGAATGAGCAGAATAGGAGAGTCCGGTTATTCGGGGTTGAAGGAACAGACGGAGAAAAGAAAACTCTTTACGATCTCGGCATATAACGTCATAGATCTGCTGCCGAGCAGCGCCGTTTGGATCTTGAAATGTCGTAGCTGGAGAACAACTGTGAATGTGGTCAATGTGTCAATGTGCTTGTTTCCAATTGTTTCGGCTCTGGTCGTTTGGACAAGAACGTACGTTAACGTTTTGGTCAGAGCCGATTACCAACAGGGACCTCGTTAAACGTTAACACTTTAAATGTTAACGGTTAACGTTAACTCGCCATCGGCGGTCGGCTAGCTAACTGTTACATGATCGATGGCGTCCATGGCTTCACTGTCAACAGACAGTTGGTACGATACGAAGCTAGCTGCTTCACCTAAATAGCTGGCTTCGTATCGGAGTAAGGTGGTGCAAGCTAACAGTAAGTTAGCTGACCCCCCCCCCCCCCCCCCCGAAAAAAGCGTCGGGGCCCCTGGAGTTAGCGGGGACGTCTTCGCAGTACAGCGAGCTAGCGTTAGCAGCTAGCGGCTGGCTACACGCAACGTAACCCGTACAGCTTCAGCTGCTGTCACATGTAGCAGAACATCTCCACTGGGACCGTTAGGTCTTAACTCACCTTATAATATACATCGAACTGGATATTTTCCGGGAGCGAACGGATGTCTCTTCTCGATCGGCTGTAGTTGTCCACCACAGCAGAGATAGCGGTGTTGTACAGTGTTTCTGGGATCCATTCGAGCTCCACCGCAGCCATGTTGTTTTCCCTCTCCAAAAAAAGCCCAGCAGCTTCAGCCCTCCCCGACTCGCCCCGCATTCGCTACCTCGCTGCGACCAAAGCACTTCCTCCGCGCGCCCTCATACAAACACTCGCGTCGCGGTGAGACTTGCTGGGGCGGGGGTGCGGGTGGGGGGCTATCGCCGATTCACCGAGCCGATTCTAAACCAGCTGTTTCATCTCCATCTCTCGCCTTCATCCCCAATTTCCTCGCCGAGCCGTCAGCAGTTCCGCTCCCCGTCCCGACGCAGACCACTCACGGGCGCTGGCGCAGTGACGTCATCGTGCCATCGCTGCAACACGGCCGTCGGGACTCGGACACGCACATCGGGGACGATGAAGCACGAGGACACAGTAAACACAGCGCGGGGATGCTGTCTTTTTACAACCAATTATGGGGCGCGTTCCAGTTCTTTGGTTTCCTGAAATATGGAGTTCATGCGGTACCTAATGGAGGTGCTATACTGAAAGTCAGTCAGTTGTGACTCACCAGCGTGCACTTAAGGATTGAAGTCTAAGATCATAACAGGCAGTTGTGCTTATATGTAAACAATATTGATCTTTCTGATATCAAACCAATCAATGGATATTTATGGTCTAGTGTACTACCTACATGTATACCCGACTTGTAGGGAAAATGTTAATTTTCATCCTTTTTTTCAGAGGATTATCTATGCAAATAGCACGACTAAAGCAAGGAACTATCAGGTGATCATGCTCAGACATGGTTTTAAAACTAGTGTCGTCCCTTTGCATATAAACTCAGCAAAAAAAGAAATGTCCTCTGACTTTCAACTGTTTTTACTTTCAGTAAAATGTGTGTAAATATTTGTATGAGCACTACAAGAGTCAACACCATAAGACATAAACTAAAAATGTTTCACAGACATGTGACAATCAGAACTAGAATAATGTGTCCCTGAATGAAGGGAGGCTCAAAATCAAAAGTATCTGGTGTGGCTGCTTGAAGTACTGCAGTGCATCTCCTCCTCGTGGACCAGATTAGTCAGTTCTTGCTGTGCTTGCTAAGACATTACTGAGGTTTAATATATATTTATGTTTTGAGAAATATCAATAAAGGAAGGAATGTTTTGGATACAGGACATAATCGCTGGTTATGTACTTCATGAAGACATTAATATAATTTGACATATCACCTTGTCCACCTTTTAATATGTACTATTAGTCATAGCTTACACATTTACTTAAACAGCATATCAACAATTGACATTGTTGACATTTACGTCAGCATGAAATTGGCTTCAATTAAATTCAACATTTTCACACAGTTTGCTAATTTATAAATTGAGATGAAATATCTGTATTGAGAACACAGCTTTAGCACTCGGGGCAGCAGTCATTTTTCCAGATGGACAGTAGTGGGAGAAGTACCAGATAATTTACTTTGTAAAAATAGCAACCCATGACTGTAAAACTTTGAGCTGCGAACGTCGTACATTTCCTTTTTAAAGAATCAAACAACAGAGCAATGTGTTATAGTATTAAATACATCATGGTACTAAGTACTTACTAGCTACTTATGCAGTTTGTTGGGTAGGGCCCAGTTGAAAGTGTAAAACGGTACAATACAGAAAAACTCAAATGAAAATAAAAGTTCATCAAGCTTATGTTTGGTTGTTGAGTACCACTACGGCCCCTGAACACAACACACAGAGGTTTCCTGGTGGTGTAAAGCTCACAGTCAACCAGGGGAGGTTGCTACTACTCCATTTTTAAGGCAGGAGGAATATAAAAATGTAAACAGCAGCAAGCGGTTCAAAGTAAACTATTTATAAATGTGCGGGTTATTTGTTAAATCAATTTTTCTCTGTTATCTGAAATAGTAATTAAAATGCTTCAAAAGCGACATCAGCGATTTTCTTTTTTTCCAATTAATTCCCCTATTTATTGTTTGTGTGTGAATCACAAAATCAAGTTTGATTCTTTTTAGTGAATTGAATTGGTGTGGTTTTAAATGCCAGACTTAGTTCTTATAATAATAGTCATGTTTCAAAGCACAATTATATACTTTGAATGTTTTTTTCCCGTCATTAATTTTAACTTTCATGCTTTTATATACAAACACTCATTAACTCAAGAACATTTTAGTTTCGTTTCAGTTCAGTAACATAAGTCAAAAAGTGATAAAAAAAAAACAGAAAGATGATTCTTTGTGGTCTGAAGAAAAGAGGAATTCGCTTGGTTTTATTAAAAACAAGTTTATTATAATTCTTACAATGATGAATGATGAATGAATGATGTAGTTCCTCACGTCCTCTTCCTGTCAAAGAGAGAGAGAGCAGTGTAGAATTTTAGATGAGAAATTAAATTGTTTAATTATACTGTAGTATAATTCTAGTTATTTAAATACTGATCCAGTGAATCGTGAGCTGTTCTGGAGTCGGCTGGAAATCTGCAGAGAGATGAAAATGTTCTTGCTCTCTAGATCGAGCGCCGCATTGACCAGCTGCCTCAGTAGGATCTAACGGACAAAAAGACAGAGACGAGGGGTCAGAGGTGCTGTGACTCTGAGCTGATCACAGCGGCTCACCTTGGCTTCATCTTCTTTTATGTAGCCTCCTTGTTCTCTGAGGTAGTCATGGAAATCCTCAGCAGGCATCGGCCTCTCCATCACCAGCACCAGCTCTTCTTCCAACTGGTACCAGTCAAGCAAGGCAACGTGTGGCGATGGCCCCTCTGATTCGGCCAGCTTCAGCATGATGGCGACCTCGATGGAGATCACGTTCCCTTCTTCGTCCTGTAACGTCACGCGAGAGTTGAGAGGTTCCTCGTTGATACACCCACAAACACAGAACATCCTGACAGCGGCATGCGTTGCTCACTCACGTCATGTTTGATGAGGATCATTTCATTCAGGATGTGTTTGATGGCAACCTACGAGATGGAAACAAGACTTTTGTTAGTGTGTGTGTGTGTTTGGGAAGGTGTGTGTGGCGCTTACGTGGAGGTCGTCGGCTCTGCGGAAGCCGGCGTACACTGATCCACATCCTCCCCCGCTGATGAAATCCAGTTCTTCATATTTGGTCTCGAACTCTTCTGCAGACACAAACATGTTGTTTTCATACACTTGTGAGTGACAGCGACAAAATGTCACCTAAACCGTCCTGCGATGGTAATACCAATTTTAACTTGACACTGAAAGCCTAAAACTACTGACCTTTTTTTTTTTTTTCCTGTTTTTTTTCTTTCGTCAGTTTCTTTCTCCTCCTCCGTCCTCCCTCAGCAGCGGCGACCTTCCTCTTGTCGCCTCTCTTGCCAACGACCTCCACAGAGGTGTTGCAGCTCTCAATATGGGAGAAACATCCCAACAGCTCTGCAGAGTAATCGTTCTAAAAGCTGTTTCACGCGATCAGCTTACCAGGGTCCGCTGAGGTGGACGCTGAATCATCGTCAGGGTCGTCGAGGGCCCCTCGCCTCCTCTGGTTTTGCTTCCTTTCCCAGCTTCGTCTTCTGGGCTTCCTGCAGAAGAGAGCCAGTCAAACATGAGCGGAGCTCCAAGCCGACTCCTATCGGCACCTTCACCCCAGTGTGCGATCGGTGGAGGTAAATGGGTCATGGATTATAGCAATATGCTATTTTCTTCATTTATTTTTACCCAGGGACAGAGGCCTTTTGAGTTGGCCGACTGGTTCATCCGTGTGGCAAAGCAAGGGTGTAAAAGGGGAATGAAACTAAATAAACTAACATTTACTCGTTTGAGGCAGGAGATGCAGTTCACGGTTTTAGATAAGAACAGCTTTATTTTAAATAGTTTGCGTCTGCGTCGTTGCGTCGACACACTAGTTTCAATTCAAGGTGAATTCATGAAAAAGGGCATTCTCCAGGGCTTCCTTTCGGGTTGTTTGGGGCCCCGGCCACGTTTCAGCGCCTCGTGGATCGAGTGCTGCGTCCACACGCTGCATATGCTGCCACTTACTTGGATGATGTCATTATCCACAGCACCACCTGGGCGCCGCATGTGCGGCAGGTGGGCGCGGTGCTGGAGTCGCTGGGATGGGCGGGGCTCACCGCCAACCCGGGGAAGTGTGCAGATGGACGGATGGAGGTCCGGTATTTGGGGTACCACTTGGGGGGCGGGCAGGTGCGCCCTCAGGTGGACAAGACTGCAGGGCGTGGTTTGGCTCAGCTGGAGAGGGGGCGGAGAAGGGAGTGGCTCGGGGAACGGTACCAGGAGGAGGCATAATTGGCCTCAGGTGGAGATAATCAATATGGAAGTTCCATTTCATTTAACGAGGTCTCACTCTTGAATGAATGGCCGCCTGCCTGCACAAGAATGGATTGTATTTTTAAATAGAGGACGGGGAGCCTGGAAGTCTCCTAATGTCCATCAGGCCAGATCGGAGTCAGGAAATAAAGAGTAACACTATTAATGAAATAAATAATAACCCTCTCTGGTTATCATACTTGTCTTTGTGACGGGATTCATAGTGTCGGCGCAGATTGTATTCTTTGAATACCGCCACCGCCTCTTGACAGATGAGACAAACAACCTTTTCTTTGCATTGAACAAAGAAATAATTGTTTGACCACTGCAGGTTAAATACCCTGCATTCTGAATCCATTTTCTCTTACCTAACCGTGTCTCCATTATTCCGTTCTATTTGACAGAGGCTAGTCTAGGATTTGCGTGGCCAGACTTTAAAAAAATCATGTCTCTGGTATTGTTCATATTCGTATCCGGCCCGCAGGCCTTAGTTTGGGGACCACTGAATTATTGCTTATTATTATTGCTTATTATCCACAATTGGAAACTTAGCCAACATATATCATTACGATGGATAATTAAATACCTGCCTTATAGCTTTGCTGAGGCAAATTGTGCTGCGTAACCCTATGCTGTCAACCTTTCTTGAGTGAGCACACGTGTTCATGCATTTCTATTCTATATACTGCAATTCTGCAAACTACATCCATTTTGCGCATGCGTTTCCAACTTCCTGAATGTGTTGTTTGTTTTATTTTCAAAGGACGAACAGGAGATGAAACATTTGTTTTGCCGGGACATGGCAGCGCTCCTCGAGAGGGCTGCAGGGTTCATGCAGAAACTCACGCACAGAACGAGCAGTATGGCTGGTGGCATTGTCCTGCTGGAGGATCATGTCCGGATGAGCATCTTTCTTTGGGTGTTTTTCACAGTCGGTGGACAAGTCTCTTTAGTGTTTTTAGAACTGTGACCTTAGATGCCTACTCTCTGGAAGCTGTTAAGGTCTTAACGACCATTCCACAGGTCCATGTTAATTGACTGATTATGGTTAATTGAACATGCATGGAAAACATTGTTTAAACACTTTACAATGAAGATCTGTAAAGTTATTTGGATTATTACAACATTATTGTTGAAATACACAGTCCTCAAAAAGGGACGTTTCTTTTTTTGCTGAGTTTATGTGTACAGTGTGCTATTTGTGGTGAGACAGAGGATTGGCTTAATTTTTTTTGTTATCTTATGCATTGCAGATTCAATAACACACACCAATGAGAGAGAGAGACCACAGAGAGAGACAGATGTGGATACATGATACTAAAGCCTTCTTTGATAATGACCTCACAAATGTCATTTGATGTTTTACGAGCCCTCGATGCGCGTGCATCGAGACGACCATTATTCAGAGGACAGTAAATGTCATATCTTATGTAACCAGAATAATGTAACAAAATAGCACTATATAACACTCATATAAATAGGATAGATTATAGCACTGAGACTGTGTGTCAAATTAGAATTTATGGTAAAAAGAAGCACATGAGAAAGTGTGTGTGAATATGAGACTGAAGAATCAAAAGTTGTAGTATTCAAACCAACTTTAGACTTAAATGCAAAGCATGAAAATATTGTTAGATAGTATGTGTCACATCTAAGGAAATGTCATAGTAATCACTTTATTTCAGAGCTTTTCATTTAAATAGGTTCATTTCCACAGACATGTTTCACATTTACACTGTACACATGCACTTTAGGCTTTTAGTAAATGATTACACGAAGATCCATGAGAAATAAAAACAAAACTAACGAAATACGTAAGTCACACAGGAATCCCGAGCAAAGTAACGGTGTTTGCAGAGGAAGCGTCAAATTCAAACATTAATAATGCTGCTAATTTCTGTTCATTGCACTGAATGAAAAAGCATCATCGTGTAACGTGGTGGTTTTACAAAGATGGAGACATCGGTCTTATACCGGACATTCTTTTATTTATTTCAGGTAATATTTCTCATCTAAATCATACAGTCTGTCCTGTAACTAAACCACTAGAGGCAAACCCTCCTCAGACTAGGCAGGAGACGTCAAGTGTCTGACCTCCTACATGGGCCGAGTTTTTCTGCTAATGCTATCCACCCCTATGCATCGTTTCAACAGAGACATTCAGTTCACCATTAAAGTGGAAAAGCAACAAAGTATCCGTGCATTACGTCACTACTCCCCAATGAGAAGGAAATCCCAACAGATGTAGACACATTGTTACTGGGACAGATGGTCAAACCCACCTCAACACATCTGGTGCTGCCCCTGTGAGAGCATGGCGGCACAACTGGATACTTCAGAGCTACTGTAAACATCGAGTTGTGGAAAAGATTTGGTTTCAGAGACGCCTGGACGAAGCAAACCAACTTCAGCAAAGACAAATCCTGACCTGACGTAGGGCCGGGTGGAGCTGGCTCCCGACAAAAGGTTGAATGGAATACTAACCCTAACCCTACCTAACTCTAAACCTACAGCTCCCAACATTGTAATATGATTAATAGGGTGCATCTATCCATCCCTTAACATGCATTGTGCTATTTCAATTTAAAAACATCTGCCATTATTTGAGCGCTCGCGCAGATGTGTCCAATGCGTACGCTCAAAGAATACAAGTGCTACCAAAACTCGTTACAAGTATCTATAGATCAATATTCACAATGTAGTAGCTTACAGGGCTGTTGGTGTAGCATCACCGTCACTTCATATTACATTTATTCGTGATTAAATAAAATGATGAGAATAAAAACACACATATGTTTAAGCCCAGGGTGTGCACACAAGTGTCTATGCAGAGCGTGAAACGGGGGAGAGGGCTGTTGTTGAGCTACTTGTCACGTTTTATCATCAAACAATAAAAGAATGTACAAAAATATATATTTGTTTTACATGAACATTACCTATTACTTAACACTCAACTGTAAAATGCATAATAGCTGCACCGTCATCATTAGTCACACTTCTTTCTTACAACGTCTACCAGTAAGAGGAACCATTAAGACGCCTTTCAATCAGCACAGCTACAAGGAATCTGGAGACTGTCTAAATGTTTTTTTGTTAAAATGAGCGCTCTGTACGTTGTGTCCTGGTCTCTGGACACTTGGACAGAAGAGTCACCAGAGACAGGTTGGACCGTGGAAGGCAGCAGGTTAATGCGTCTGTGTGTGTGTTTCAGCACGCACACACGGTGGCCTTGTTGTGCTGCTGGAGGACAGCAGAGACTTTGCTTGTCTCTGCGTTGTGTCGTACCAGTGGCGGGCGGGCGGCTGGCCTGCGTCGGGCCTTCTTGGCGCTCTGCACCGAGGGCGATCTGCCAATAGTTCTTTTGCTGCCAGGACTCCTGCCGCCGATCGTCCTGTCCGTGGGACTGGACCGACCGGGCAGCTCAGTGCCGCTGTTCGGACACAGTGGCGTCAGAGTGAACAGGTCGGACCGGTTTGTGCGGTACAGGTTGTTGCTTCCAGATAGTCCGTCCCGTCGCTCCAAGGCAGGGAGGAAATCACACATGGCAGAGGGGGAGTCTTCATCGAGAGTCCGCTGCAGGACAACAGCCCAGACAGAGAATGTGAGGACAGACACGAGGAATGTTTTCAACTGAAATGTTTAATGAAAGGAACCTGAGATCTGTGTAATCTGTGTGTGTGTGTGTGTAAAAAAAATATGTGTGTATATATATATATATAATAATACACACACACACATATATACACACACAGTGCATCCGGAAAGTATTCACAGCGCTTCACTTTTTCCACATTTTGTTATGTTACAGCCTTATTCCAAATGGATAAAATTCATTAATGTTCTTCAACATTCTACACACATCAAGCCCATAATGACAAAGTGAAAACTGTTTTTTGCAAATTTTTGCAAATCTGTTAAAAATAAAGAACGAAAACATAACATGTACATAAGTATTCAAAGCATATTGCTAAACAAGAAATGGGTTAACATCCTGCCCTCACCTGAAGCAGAGGAGTGTCTGCGCGCGATAGCGAGGTGGGAGGACACTGGGACACCTTGGCCATGTCCAGCAGCACCTCCTCGTGGTGCAGCACGTCCTGGGAGCTCCCTTGCTCCTGCAAGGCGATAACAATGGCGCTGGTGTTGTCAGCACGCAACATGCGCTGGCGCCACCGCAGCAGAGCATGGCTGACCAGCTGCCGGGCACTCGATACCCCGCATGGCGCCTGCAGCATGGAAGGCTGTTATGAGTCTCACATGGTCTGATATGGGGAGGACATTACATTGACCAATATGCCATTTATCATTAGAGGGCCTATTAATCATGTTTACTTGACTCACTCAGTGCAGCTAGCAAACGAAAGCCTCCCTCTGTAACAATCCGACACGATAGCGTCTGAAGAGTAACAAACACTTTACAGAAGCAGGTCTCTTCACTCACCATCGCCTCGTCGTTGTTCTGACACATGGAGACAGCCTCTTGAGGGGGCACCATGTTCCACAGCCCGTCACTGCCCAGGATGATGTATCGGTGTTTTCTGGGGTCAAGGGTCACCACACTAGTATCGGGCTCTGGAGAAACCACAAACTCCCCACTGTAGAAGTCATAGCTCCACAGATCACCTGTGGCAGAGAGAGAGTGGTTGCTGAAAACACACCTGGTTTGAACCAACAGTCTCCATGACAACTGCTGGAGGGTGGGAGGGGGCTTTCTCGGGAATTCTCTTACACCCCCTTGTTATGAGACTAGAACATAACGCCAGTGAAGTGCCTCCTTGTGAACAGGTTATTGGCTGAGACAGTGCTGATAGTTACTTTTCCTACCTAGAGCTCGAGCTACTGCCAGGAAGGGGATCTGGTCGATGACGGTGCTCCGACGGACTGGGCCGTTGTGACTCAGCCTCGGCCTCTTCCAGACAACCCGGTTCACTCCAGACTTTTTGATAACACTGTTAGCAGATAGATAGAGATAGAGAAGATGGGTGAAGGAAGCCACCAGTTGGTGTCCAAACATTTCAGAGTATGATTTAGACATTGCGGGAGGGCTGTAACAACCAGGGCTCCGCAGCTGGATAGAATGAGCTATGGATAATGGAGTCTAACACCCTGCAGAAAATCCTACCCCCATGAAGGTTACGGAGTCCAGTTGTGGTTATATTGTGTTTGGGAGGTGTTGGTTCGATTATGTTTATATTTGATTGAGGTGATCTAATACAGGAAGGCTTCAAATAGCAGTTTAATTTAAAAACTGTGTTGAAACTAGAGGGAGTTAATCCTCAATCAAGCTCTTTGTGATGCCATAGCTTGTTTTTGCATCTGGGAATAAGGAGGCAGACAAAAGTTCATCCTTTTTCCTCATCCAAAATGTACAATCAGCCATCAGCCTGGCAATAAATGATCCATACTGTAATTATTTCAAGCTTGAAATAAAGGGAAAAAATGTCTTATGCTCCTAATGAGGGAGCGCTAATAGACCTGGCATAGAGAGTCAGTGCTGCACATTATGCCTGATCAATTTCATGATTATTAAATCAATCATGGTCACTTAGGTGGGATTTGCCGTAACATGTTGAGGTACATAAATTAATATCCATGCATACTGAATGTGATGGATATTAGATTCCAAGGCCCTTTCTTTATAGTCTCTTTATAGTAATATGATTTTTAAAGCAACACTTCTCCCTTTTAATATGGTGCCACACCAAATAACATGACTAAATCTTGTGTAACGTTATGCAGAAAATATGTATTATGGTTATGCAGTTAAAGTACACCTATGAATTCCCTTTAAAGCTGTCGAGTTTAACATGTCATGCAAGATGTCAAGCCATCCAAGCTCTTATTCCTGTAACAACATATTATCAGTAGGACATTGTCCTTGAAGCAGATAGCATTTTGACATGCTTTTGTGCAAAATGGGTTACAATGCTTTTTAGTTTAAAATGGAGTTTGGTGGAGCTGTTATCTCGCATTTGTCTTGATCCAACCAATAACAACACATTTCTACTATCTGCTGGAGAGTCCCAAATCAATATACAACATAAATATACTCATGGCCAAGCATTAACAGTTTGGTTTTATTCTAGCCTTTAAGGCAGCTAAATCCCAGTAGGGCTGTCAATATTGCTCAAAAATGACGTTTGAATATTCGCTTAAAACCCCCCACAGATATTCGAATAATTTCTGGTTGCGCATTAGACACGTCAATAACAGGACGAATTAATACAACGAGACATAAACTACTTGTATAGGTAATGTATTTCAAATGTCAAGTTCAAACCTACTTAACAACATATTACCTACACAAAAATAAGTAAATGAACTAACGGCCAACCCCGCAGATCTCTAGCTCTCTCTCTTATTGCGATTATTCATGCAATATAGTCAGTACAGGCGAGCGCCCACCCGCTAAGCAGGCAGTCGCGTCGCTGTGTTTTCTTTTTTCACATTCAAATAGTTGTTTTTAACAACAATTTGAATATAGAATATTCGTTGACAGCCCTAAATCCCAGGAAAAGTAAAACTGAAAAGTCTGTTTTGGTCACGCGTTCTCCGCAATCATGTGCCGGCCTGGATGCAAAGATACTCCCCTACTAATGTTAGTACAGGGTGAGGAGTTTGTTAAGGCTCACCTCCCTCCCAGCCCTTCAATACGCTCTCTCTCTTTGGGTAGTTCAGGTTTGTGGTCTTGTGTGACTTCCACAGCTCTGATGAAAGGGTCTGAAGGGTCATCCTGGACCCCTAGAACCACCGCCGAGTCCCCGACATGGGCCACATACATGCGGTTTCCACGGATGAACACCACGCTGGCTGTGGTACCCGACGTGCTGGGGAGGCCTGTGAGTGTCTTTGGCCATTCAGCTGAGAAGATGAAAGAGACAACAGGTGTTACGGAGCTGTACCTTATAGGTGTATTCACACATTACAGCACAGCACAACAACGGGGAGAAAACGGATGCTCCGAAAACAACTACTTTTAAATGTACACATTGCTCCAAGTATCACACCGGATGACACCGTGACCTTTGGGCTGGTTTGTTGGATGCAGCCTGTCGACGTGCGCCGACACTGTGTGTGGACACTGTGACGGGACCAGCTGTCAAACAGCTGACATGCCCGGGCTTATCCAGGCATGGCTCACACGGGCCACGTCATGGGTCAACAGGCTGTCTAGTAGGTAATGCCGAGGTATGTAGCTGCGTGTAATAAGTTAAAACAATATTAAATGAATAATACATTAAATACATTACGATTGGTAATTGGTCTTCTGTGTCCGCCGCGGCCGCTTTGTTTGGAGCCAGCAGCTACTGCTAACCTCGTTAGCTCCGCTGGTTGCTAAAACTAGTCCCCGTAAAGCATCTTATATTGAAACACACGGAGACTACCAGAGTGCCAACAGATTGAGACCGGCCTTTGTGTAAATGTATATGACGACACAGTCCGAGGAGAAGGACTTTAATGAGTCCAGATGAGCCAGCGGGGATCGTACCAGTCCAGAAGTTTGAGGACGTACCGCTAGGCCACGGACCACCTTACATCCAGAGGTTTGCGCTCATGTGATCTACTGAACCCGAGGAAGAGGCACAATCCGCGGCCCACGTCCACAAAGTACACCGGTATATGTCATGACATTGTAGTGGAGAGTAACTTAGTAACATACGTAGCTTTTTCCACATGGCGTGATGGCAGGCTATGAATCCTTTGCGTATAGCAGCGCAGACCTCCAGGTCGCAGTCGGACCAGAACCCCCGCTGCTTCTTCATGAACTCCCAGAGATACTCTCGCGCAAACTGCGCAGCCTCGCGACCCCCGTGTCCGTCGAACACCGCGAGGAAGGCTACGGAACGGCGGGCTCCCGGAGAGCTCTGACCGCCCGGTAGAGACGTTTCCACTATAATACGTTGGTCCTCCGTTGGCACCGGTTCACACGATGCCCCTGAAACCCGAGGCGACACGACGGGGCCGTCAGTCCGCTGTGGGTGCGTGTCCGCAGCCAACGAACCGAACGTACCGTCTCCCCCGACGGTCTCCTCGGGCTCAGCCGACGTCGGCTCGTCGTCCGCCGGCTCGGGCTCAACTATGACTTCGGTCACATCTTCCATGTATTTCCTGCCTCCTTGGTCGGTAAAAACACTCACTCGCATTAATAATGCGTTTTCCATAGCTACAGAAATAGTTTGCGCTCCTATTTCCTCGGTGCGGTTAGCGTATAAACACCTGGAGAGTTGAGTTTATTACGGCGCAGCGTCCTGTCTTTGTTTATGTTGGACCGCAGTAGGCATGCTCCAACGCGCTGACGTCATCACCCGTCTTCTTCTTCTTCTGCTAACACGTCGAGTCAGCAGCGCCGAGGCAGCTGCTGCCCTCTAGGATGGAGGATCAGCGACGGCGCAAGCGTCTAAACGCTTGGAAAACAGATCAAACGGGGAGCATGATTTAAAACAGGTGAGGTACACACACGGATCCGGTCCGTGATAAAAGAGTAAAATTGCCCTTTAACTCCGGAGTCCCACTGAAAACGTGCATAATGTTCACATGTAATTAAAAAGTGTACTTTTACTTCCAACACCTTGATGTTTCACAAAAAGGAGATCAGCTCAATACCAATGTCTCACCCTCAACCCGTACCTGACGTCACCTGTTAAATGGTTGAGTGAGAGAGTCTGTGAGGGTGAAGGCTATTTATTTTATACTTTTACATCTGAAGTCTTCCATGAACTTCCCTCATAAGATGAGAGGTATTTTTGGAAATCATCTGTTTACTGTTTTTTGTCAAAATAGCTTTGATGACAAAATACAGTAAAATAAATCAACGAGACAAAGAAAACAAAGAAAAGCAAAGATTGTGGCAAATATGACAATTATCATAGATTTGAGGTCTGGGAAGAGAAAACAAACTTGAAGGGTAAAAACAAATAAGGACACAACTGTCATAGGATTACTCAGGGAGGATTTTTTTCTGGGCCAATGTGAGGTTCCTGGCAGAGGGGATGTTTTATGTGTGTTGTGATGTTGATGTTGATGCGTCAATGTCCAAATAATCTCGCGGCGCCTGAGGTGTAAGATATCATGTTCTATATCCAAGGTTGATTACCAGCACTTCGTGTCAACCAGAGCGCCTCCCTGTTTTTGTATTGCTATCTTCCAGCTATACATTCCACTACCGGGGAAGAGGACCTTTGAGTAGCCTTGATGCATGACTTGTATGTGTGTCAATTCTGTCTCCTGTAGTATTATCGTACTATGTGTACTGTTTAATGATTTTAGACCGGTGTTCATTAAAAATTTCAACAATTGGCGGAAGCTGAATGTGATTTGTGATTTTGCGCTATATAATATATAATGATGGGTCCTTGCAGAAGTGGAGGAGAAAGATGAATTGTTTTCCTTACAGAGAGTGGACGGTAGTAAACAGATGGGGGACGAGGAGGACGAGATAAACACATGTATAGGACCAGGACACTAAATCATGGACACCTATCCATCAGGGTGAAGCAAGCAGAACCAGAAGAGACAATGACTGGGAACTGAAATTAAGGAAATAGAATTAACATAAATGATAGTATGCATGGAAGTAAAGGAAAATTAATAACAGGGCTGTTGCCTTGCTGGGAGACGCCACTTGAATTGAAATGATCCATTATGAAGACGGCGCGGTACTTACCTAGCTCCAGAAGGTGGCACAAACGCAACAGAGCGCAGACTCTCTGCCGAACAACTCCAACGAAGAAGAAGCTGTTCGCAGAGCGGGAAAGGTGACGGGGAGTGAGTTGTTTTCTAACCGCTGTCAGAGTGCTGCTGGTTAGTCCGCCGGCCGTGGCGAGGGACAACAGCACATTTAGCTCTAGCTAGAAACGCAGTAATAACGTTGACTAACGAGTTACTTTCCCTTCACTCAGGTAGGTGGCCACTGACACCGACACGAAAACGGTGAACATGACATGTGTTAAAAAAAAGGTTATCAAATGCATAAAGGTTAGCTAGCCGTGTGCTACAGTACCTTAGCTAAGGTAACGCCAGTTAGTGAAATAATACCGATAGTCACAGTGGCCACCTGCCTGCAACATGAGTTTATATGAAATGTCATGAGAGCTGATATTAAGTGTTTCCCTTGTTTACGCCAGATATCCCCGTGAAGCAGAGGAACATGGCTTCATCCCCGGTAGAGTACATGGTTGGAGGGGTGGAAATACACTTCCCCTGCAAGGCGTACCCGTCCCAGCTGTCTATGATGAATTCAGTGAGTCACACCGTCACCGCGCGGTTAAACTAAGCAACATAGAGGACTTTAAATGTTACAAATTACAATTCATAAGGATGGCCGGTGTCACGTCCCTACTGTTTTTTGAACCTACTGATTCTTCTCCGCTTGGCCGTTTGTGTTTACTTAACAGCAGCAGCTGTTTCCTGCCTCTGGGGCCTGATTCGTCACACATTCACACAAACCTATTGCTGTCTTCAAAATGCATCACACATCCACTGCAGCAATTACGCCTGTATAAGTGAGCACCACGTTCCTGCCACGCATGAAAAAATACATTGAAGAAAGTATATTTCTTGAAAGATCGCAAGAACCCTGGCGAGCAAAACAATAAATGCATCGAAGACGGTCGTGCTACACAGTCCGAGACATGCACTTGGTGTTTTGATGGATATTGGTCGTACCACACAGGTAACCAGTTGTTTTAGATCACTCTAGACCAAAACGTTTCATCCACATTGATATAGTGCAGCTTAAAGAACTACATAAACCAAATAACCACCATTATTTATACCGGCAGCTAGGAATCAGTATGAGGCTGCGCATACCCTAAGGTTGTGTATGGAAAACTAGAAATATCCTGGAAAAGAACCGTTAAAAAATGCAAGACAACATGTGGATTTGTCAGTTCGGTATTGTAAATGTACGTTCTCTGCAGATCATACAAGGACTGAAACATGGGAAGCACTGTTTGCTGGAGAGTCCCACAGGAAGCGGGAAGAGCTTGGCTCTGCTCTGCTCGGCTCTGGGCTGGCAGCAGGCGGAGTTCGGTAGGTCGGCTCTGAAAACTATTCTATGGGTCAAACCAAATGTTTGACTTGTGGTGTCCACATTAATTGGAGCGGAAGTCTCTTACTTGTTATTAGATCTCAAGTGTCATAGATGTTTTAATGTTTTTATTCAGATTTATTTATATTACTACATATGATATTTATTTTCTACAATATTTATACAGTGACGCAAGGCTACATAAGACTTGCATTAGTTTGCTTGTAATGTTAAAATACCATTTCAAAGGTTTATAAGCATTTGAAAGTTTCTTTACCTAATCCGCATATATCTGTCTCATATTGTTTCCTACACCATGTACCAGCTGAGAATTTATTTATACATCTGTTGTATCATACAATGACAGATAAACAGAAAATGGGAGAGAGTCTTTTGGAGAAGAGCCAGTTGGATATAAACATCAAGCCATGCCAATGTGTGTGCCACAGCAAAGTCAGCAGTTGCGCAGCCGCAGCAGCTTCCCAACCCGTTGTGGATCTCACTGTGTCACCTTGCAAAGAATTGACACCGCTTGCAGCATCTGAACAGAGTAAGTGTTGTTCAGTTTTCAGTTTTATTTGTGGGGGCATTTGAAACATGCATGACTGTATTACCTCCCCTCATGATACTTGGCCTCTTGTAAAATACTGTATTTACACAAAAACGAACACGTCACCAAACAATGCTTCCTTTGCTTGTAGCCGGTGCTTTGACTTGGCTTTTGCCTTTGGTTTAAAACATAATCCTGATTACATCCATGATACTAGGGGCTGTAATGATACAAACAAGTCATGGTTTTGGTTCTTGTATAATCTAATATTGCACTTGCCTTGTTTCAGGCCCATCCACCGAGACGTTACATCCAAGGAAACAATCTATAGCCTCTCGTCTGTCTGGCAAGATGCTGTCCAGCCTCATTCTTGACTGCGAGGATGACGACTTTCAGCCAGAGAGGAAGCGCTTTCGTACTGCTGAACATCAGGTATTGTACCTTTGTTTTATACTGACTTTACTGTAGATAAAATTTAAAGGGTGAATCTGAAACCTTATTATTTTATAACCACAGAGTACCCATATCTGCAGTGGTTTGATGAAATTGTTGTGTAGGAACAATATTACAGTGATGTGAATGCCGAGTAATGTGCAGTTCAGTGGACTAAAGCCTCTTTTTGTTCCTCAGCAGCGTAAGAGGCAGCGTGTGGAGCAGGGAGTGGTATTCATAGATGATGAGCAGGAAAATGACCCTACGGGTGGTCCGAGTGGCACTACGGAGCCAAACACAGCAGCAGATGGTCTTCCCTCATCATGCTGCGTGAGTACATTAAGTTAATTAAATAATCTTTACTTTACTTACATACATCTGGATTGCCTCTGTCCTCTTATCTGCTTTCTTTGCCCGAGCTCCGCCTTCGCCAGCGTACACACACACATGTTATGTTATGAAGTGTTCTGTTTTGCTGACTACATCGAGAAAATTAGGATAAACAAGTCCAAATGGACTTGTTTACGAAGTCGCAATCTTCAGCTCCGGTGTGGGAACATTTTGGCTTTAAGCTGAATGAGAGAGGAGAGACAATAAGGTGAACCAGCCAGTACGTCGACTTTGTTTAAAAACCGTGGTAATGAAAAGGAGGGCCATGCGCAGGGCAAGGTGAACACATTTTCTTGAACCCTACCGCATCCCACAAAGCCCGATGCTTCACCCCGCTCCTTGTCCCTTTCACTTATTTATTTTCTTTATTTAGGATGAATTTTGGTGCAATATATCGCACAACAAAAATCAGTTATTGTGCCTAAACTTATACTAAAGAAAAAGAAGCACAAAACAACAATTGACTACATTAAAGAATTGTTTAATTTTTTTATTGCCACTGCGTACAAAAGACAAAACAAAAAGAACCGGCCGGTCCTCAGGGGGGACGGGGTAGATCGCCAGTAGCTCCAAGCCTGAAAAGTGTGGGAACTCCTGCTGTAGAGGCAACAATTTAAACGGACACAAGTATAGTTTATTACACAAGAATGTACTGATTGTTAATTAATATAAGCAAGCCTAGTATTCTCTTACAATAAATGCCCCACTCTCCACCAAACGGCAGAATTCATGTGCATTACCCAAATATATGCAGACATGGTCAACTTAGGCGGATTCATTTCCCCACAAAAAGTACTGGGTCCCAGTTAATTTACATTAAGACTTAATGCATTTTATGCATATAATGGAAAATATTTACTATATGTGTCTTCAATACAACCATATAATTGATTTACGTATTTAATTATTGCGTGATGAACGGTCCATGGTAGACACAGATGTAACTCATTCTTTAAGAGGCAGTAATGTAGCCATCATTGTCTGTTGCACCCATACATACATGTCATACATGACCTGTGGAAACACGGATTGGTTAATCCTCATGTTGCTGGTAGGGTGGAATAGTTTAGCTGGTTGAGCACCACTCATTCAACACTTTCACTGTCAGTAATGTGTCCAGTCCACTGGGGGGCAGTTTACTCCACCAAATGGGCTCCGGTTGCGGTGTAGAGTTTCACACATGTGAGCCCAAACAACAGAATTTTCAACATTGCATCTTTGTGAAGTGAGCATTTTAGTACGTCATCATTCTTCAAAGGCCTGTTTGACATTTCAGACTTTGTTGGTTTTGGTTCGGGTTGATTTATTTAGTTGTGATGGCTAAGGTTAAAGCTTATTAAGTGTATAAAATGTTTTTTTTCCTGTTGATCGTGAATGTAGTGAGTAGTTATTTCAGCTCTAGTTTTATCATAAAACTGTTCATTAGAAAACGTTTGCTTTTGCCGATGAACTGAAAGCAGAGAGTACTTTTGAAGCTGCTTTTTTACAGTGAGAATCAACCAAACTAGATCCATCAGGTAATGCTGTGTTGGCCAAAGCTGTCTGCCAAGGTCCTCCTGGTGAATAATCTGTGTTCTTGAGTTCCCAAAGACCCAGAGGTTAGACATGCCCTGTCCCAGGATGCTGTTCAGAATGCAGCTCACAGCGACGGCTGAACTCTCACAACTGGGTCTTAACTTGCCACAGGTGTGTGGCTCGGATTTGGTGCCGTGTACGGTCGGAGGTGGAAAAAGACGAGGAGGAGGGAAAGTGAAGTCGGTCTCTAGTTTCCCTGCAGCTACATGACCCGGGCCCTTTTGTCCCACGAGCGCTGACTGACGGCCTGAATGGGGCCCTTTGAAGCAAGCTCCAGTTTTAATTAAGAGGGTTTGCCTCGCCTGGACCGCTGATCTGTGAAAGCCACAGGGATAAATATTGAATGGGGTTCACCCGCTGGTTACTGCGCCCGAGGGATAAACAGGTGCTTTGGAGGGCAGATATTTGCCAGGGCCCCCTACCTGCACAGTGTGGTCATGTTGGGAGGAAGGGGTGTTGGGTATCATGTCCTCCCAGGTATCGCCTGCTGAAGACTCCCCTTATTGGAGTGAATTCCAAGCCCTCGAAAGCTGTGGAATGAGGAGCAAATTGCCATCCAGTGAGAGGCGCCAGTGATACCCAAGTTATCCACTGCCTGCGGCCCCACACTGCCCTTTGACTGCCCCCCCCCCCCCGAGGGTGAAAATTCCATCTCTCAGGTGTTGGCAGGGAGGAGTGGCACAAAAGCCTACCTGTGAATATTCTGAGGTGGTCAGTAACACCATTGACCTCCATGCCGTCAATTCCTGAAAGATTTAGCGCTTTCATACAATTACACCTGGAAGTGTAGCTATACCAAGGGAACAAAGTATATGTAGTGTACCTGAAGAGACATAGTACTACTGAATAGACATAGTACACCTGTCGTATGCACAAAAAATGACCTTTTATTTGAAGGATAAGCTAACATTCTCAATGCTAGCGGCACCCAAGAAGCAACGCCAATGGAACTGCTACGTTCCTGTTGCTAGCAGAGCTGGCGTCTCCTTCGCCCCCTTTGCCAGTTATCTGCATTCCTCTCGAGGGGGTGTCCGCGCCGGGCCGAGGGGCCAGGCCCGATACCTCGTTGTCCTGGCATCTCAGGAGGCAGGCGTGTAAAAAGATACTCTTGTGTCAGCTGTTTCCTGCTGCAGCTTTTGACAAGGGCCTCTATTCATCAGCAAGCCCTTCCACACTGCTCCCCCTCTCCCCCCCCACCTGCCAATGAATAAGTAATTATTAGCCATCTTGGGGAAGGATATTTGGATGGCTCTATTTAATGTGGCAGCAGCAGGTAAGGCGATCGGGCTCAGGGCCCGGGCTGTGAAGCGCAACTGTTCCAGAGGAGAAAGGTAACTTGAACTGGTGTTGGGGCCCTGCAGCACCTCTGTTTATTTTTCACATGGGCTCAGGGCTCGTTATCCCTCTTAACTCAGAGAGTGGGCTCTCTGAGGGCTCTTTGGCCTACACTTCATTGCACATTGTAAAATTTGATGGGCAAACATGCTCGGAAAATCTGAGCCGCTTGGTAACTTGAGCTCCTCGTCTGTCATCAGAAGTGCAACCCTCTGATCGCTATGATAAGCACATACCATTCATTCTTACCTGGAAGCAGTCACGTAGTCTGAGGATTTATAGATGAGTTAGTTTGCCAAGCTCAAAAGTTTTGTTAATTCAATATTAAGAAAAAGGAAGTAATCTTTGAAGAAAGAGGCCAGACACCTTTTCTAAATCTATTTTTTTTAAACCAACATCTGTATATAATATCATGCAGTGGTGACAATGTGTCCATATCGATGTTCTCCCATTTGTCTGACGCCATTAGATGTTTAGCATTTGAAAGTGCAACAAGACAAATAACATGAGAAATGACAATTTTCAAATTCACAATTTAAATCTACAGTATAAAATAGAAGGCTATAGGCTAGGGGGGGTATAGAATACAAATAAAAGGTAAAGAAAAATAAAAAGTTAGAAATAAAGTGCACTGGCGAACAGAACCATACTCTACACAGCTGTGTTGTGAGTGTATGTGAAAAATAGAAAAGATACTTTACAACGGTGGTCCCCAACCACCGGGCCTCGTACCGCTATATTACCGAAATATTGTGTAGCATGAAACCGGTCCATGAGGCAAAAAAGGTTGGGGACCGCTGCTTTAGACTAACGAATGTTAGAGTTGTAATCCTGGATCGGAGAGGCTTGTGATCGGATGGTGAATATGAGCCACCAACTTCTCAAAGTCAACACCACTTAAAAGAGCTCAACACAAGCAGTTTCATAAGCGTTGCTGGCTACACATTGGCTGTAAGGGGGGGGGGATCCGCCTCGTCACAGTGCGGCCAATTTCGAAGCAGCTAGATTTTTTTTCAGCCGCCACAATGGTGGCTGATCATCTTTCCGACTCAAAAGGTCAACTGGTGGAGATTGACAGGACACCTTATGTATGATGCAGATTATTTATGCCTCCATGTGTTTATCAAAAGAGAATACAGGGCAGTCTGTCAGGCACTGGAGAGTAGTGATGAGCCTTGTGTATCATACGCAGGAGGTCTCATAGTACAGCATTCACAAGACAAAGAACATTTCAAATACCTCACATGATCTCATTAGATGTACATCTGTACGTTAGATATGGTGATTCTTTTTCCTAAAGGTTTGGTGTGTTTTATGCATGTTTCCAATCCCAAATGGTTTAAACAACAAGCAATTAACCCTCAAATGAAAAATGATTGTTTTCCTCTAGCTTTTCCTGTACGATACTGCAAAATGGGTAAAAACATGTATCTGACTGGAAACCTGTGTACCGCTGAAACAGTGTTACCCTCTTCCTTTACTCCATACTGAAGAATCAATTGATGCTGTAATAGCTTTGGCCCGGTCAGACTCTGCCACAAACGCTTTCCTAAATGTTGCGAGGATACCTTGTTTGCTGGTAGACCAGAATGGGGGCGCTTCAGATGTGTGGCCATACTTGATGTAGTGCCTGGAAACAATGCCGACATGCTGTAGAGGTTTTGTCTACCAGACTTACACCGTCATTCTAATTTAAAGGGACTTCTAAGACCTCCGGTGGTCATGACGCCATCACTGCTTAAAGTAAATACTCCTGACACACTTTGTTCATGTGAACATACAACTCGTTTATTGACAAAAAAGTAGTGTATTCCCTATGATCGCCCTCCCCCCAAAAAGTCACTTGGATTAAACTTGTTACGCCTCTGGTTTTAGTGTTGTTTTTCCCTGAATCTTTGTGGGTTTACGTCAATGTCAGGTTGAGAGATAAACAAGTGGTTTTCATTAGCTAGCTACATCCTTTGTAAAGAAACACAACAGTATATGCTGCATTTCATACATCTTTAAAATATAGATTTGATTCATGTTTTTTATTGCTCAGCCTCATTCGCAGTAATTACTTTTATTTATGATGAAGACGACCAACTCACACTTCAGACGCCAACAACTGTGAATAATGGTGTACTTTAGTGTGGACATCCTACTCTCAATGCTGAAAAAAGTTAGCCTACTGTATACAAATAAACTTGGTATTAAAATGAACATGGCTTCAGTTCAATCTGCATTATGCTGAAACAACACAATCTTTTATATTTCTAATAATAATAATAATAACTGTATGGTTCCCTTTTGTATCAGCTGGTTCCTGCCCAGCTTTTTGAACACTTAACAAATAGCATTAATGAAAGTATTAGTCCACAGCAAGACATTAATGAAAACGACATGGTGCCATCATGGCATTGATTATACACGGCTTTGTAACGTGGCCAAAGTCCTTCCACATTTCACTTCTGGCATCTTTATTTCCAACAAGCCGAGGACGGTCGTGCACGTGAGGCCATGTCTCCGCTGTGAGCCCCGCCTCCTTGCAGTCAATGCGTGCAGGCAGCATGACAGGGAGCAGAACAATACACCATTTAACATTAATTCAGGGACTTGTTGGTATAAAAGAAACATCAGCAGTAGAACTTTGAGGAACTGTGATGTGTGATCCGTGACCCGCTACCACTAATTCTACAGAGTGGGTGCTGTAAAGGGTCCTTCGGGGATTATGAAAATGACAGTTGCTCGTATTTTTATTGAAGGTTCTGGTTCTGTTGAAATCCAGCAGCGAACAACCTCTCAGTGTTTGTCTTTGTGTGTTTTCAGTCCACGGAGCACTGCTCTCTGTGCGCGTGTGCCTCAACCAAAGACGGGGCGAAGAAGAAAGTAAACGATGGCAAAAAAAAGATCCCGAAGATCTTCTTTGGCACCCGGACACATAAGCAGATAACTCAGATCGCCCACGAGCTGAAGCGCACCGTTTACTCCAAGGTGCCCATGACCATCTTATCCAGCAGGGCCCACACATGTGTCAACGGCAGGGTGGCGCCTCACGCCAACCGCAACGAGCGCTGCAAGGAACTGCTGGATGATAAAGAAGTGAGGATGAACACACTCGCACACAAACAACATTAACATTACATTTTTTTTCTATTTTCCTAACTTTAAATCTAAAAACGCCACCTAAAACCGGCCTTTTGGACATCTGCTTTTAAGGAGGATGCTGCATCCTTAAACAGACCATGAACACCTCATGAAGGTGACGAAAAGGTCACAATTTGTCACAACTGCAGTGTTTCCCCTACCGTTGAACAAGGAGGGGGTGCTCAAAAAATGTTTTTGTTAGTTTCCCACGCATGGCAGTTTCACACTAGGGGACTGACAACTTATCTCAGGTATATAAGACCTTCAGATGTAGTAGATGTTTTAGGATTTGCCCAAAAACATTTCCTCAAACGGATGTTGGTTAGTATGTGTGTACTGGTACTCTATCACACCTCTCGGGACAGTTGGTCAACTCAACTTTGGTTTCTGATAACTGACCCATGAAAGATTATCGAAATACATACATTTGATTGGCTGAGTAGTGTCATATGACAGCACAGCGATTTACAGCGCATGTATTGGTTGTAGTGTTTAATGGAGCGCTCAACAAGTGCTGTAAAGCGTGCTAAGCTGCAACGGTTAAAATAAAAGCGGCCCGCCAAAAAGTATTAATGAACTTGGATTTAGGTGTGGCTATTAGTGCTCCCTGCTAGCACTATGTGTTCAAATTGAACGGGATGAGCTCAGAAATTCATCCTTTTTGTGATGCATTAATCAATTTGCTTGCCATTCATGATGTAGCAACCTTTGTCTGGAGCCTGGAAGGGAAGTTTAGGATCACTTTCTGCATCTTGATCCATCAAATTCTGCTGACTTTGAATACAAATTGTGTGCATTGCAGGGCGGTTCATGCAGTTACTACCATGGTATCGCAAAGATACGGGGCAGGTCGACGCTGCACCAGGCCTTCCGACTCAGTGACGCCTGGGACATTGAGGACTTTGTCGCACAGGGCAGAGCGCGCCGGTTCTGCTCCTACTATGCTGCCCGTGAACTTATGCAGGAAGCCTCCATCATATTCTGTCCTTACAACTACCTGCTGGACCCATTGATCAGAGAGAGTGTGAGTAGTGTTTAGAAAGTCTGCAGGAATTATAGAGCAATCCCAAAGGGAGCAAAAAAACAAAAAGTAAGGAAATTTGTTAGTTTATTACTTTGTTGTAACAATGCTTCTTGGCAACACATCTGAGGAAAAGTCTTATATATTTGTAGTGAAAATGCATTTTAGTTGTTGGTCCTGTGTATGGTTTTTCCCTGCTGCTGAGGCTCCTGGTGTCCATATGTCCTGTTAGTTCAGACTTTAATCGTCCAATCCACCAAACGAGTCAACAGAAGAATAAGCTTGCATTGACAGAGAAGATTTTTCTCAGCTCTGCTGCTCATCCTACAAATGCATGTTCCTTGTGAACCAAACGGGCTTTCCACTGGCATAAGAAATATTACTACAAATGTCCTTACTTTTTGTGCCACGTTCAGTTCCTCTAACCACCCCCCTCTCCTCCTCTACTGCTCTGCTTCCAATCTCCATTTTCTCCAGATGGAGATCGACCTGGCAGGACAGATCGTGCTGCTGGACGAGGCCCACAACATCGAGGACTGTGCAAGAGAGAGTTCCAGCTACACTTTAGACCACCAGAGTCTGCTGATGTGCAGGCAGGAGCTTGACAACATGGTCAAAAAAAACATCAAACCCTTGGACCACGAGCGACTCATGGGGTTCTGCTATAGCCTGATCAAGTTAGTGGTTTAGTGAATTCACGGCTCATCTGTGGTGCTCATAGTTTGATGAACGTCACTACTTCCTAACTGGTACACGGCGCTATCATCTCTGTATTTTGAAGGGGCTTTTATTGCACAATTTAGAGCATGATATCTTATTTTGAAGCCCATCACTAGGGACCCAGATGTGTTGACAGCATTGATGGTGATTTCAGTGCAGAGTTACAAGTTTATAAAAACGTTGGCGGTCTGCCTGAGTTGGACCAATCATAGCGCACGGCTAATTCAATGGTGTTTTATTGGAGCGTTCGCTAGAAACTTCCCGGTTTAGTAAGCGGTGCCGTTTACAGGATGTCTCTTTGTCCGCGGTGTAGCTGGATCCAGGAAAACAAAAGCCTGATGTCTGACCGGGGATTCGAGGGAGCCTGTAAAGTCTGGAATGGACGGGATGTACTGGGCATGTTTAAGGACATTGGCATCACTGCAGACACCTACAGCCTTCTGACGGTACAACCCATAATACGCTTTACTTCAAGAGGTTTGAGGTTAACCTGATCCGTACTTTGCTCCTTTTTTTTAATCCAGTTCAAATGTTAACTAGCCTTCAGCACTGAACCCCCACTGAGAGGCAACCGTTGATGGTTGTAAGGGCCTCAGTGCAGAGGTTCTCGTAAACTCATCGCAATAATGCCGAAAAATGCCCATACGTACATAAATTAATTGCTGGCTAATAATAAGCAAAATAGCACAGTTTGATTGACTATAAATAGCCATCATGCATCATAGGCAAAGTGCATATAATTCCATGTGGATTTATATCCTCCAGGAAAAAATATTACGACGGGATCAGTAGCTAAATGAAGCTATACTGTATTTCAGTACCACTTGTATCAGATGTTTCTGATACTCGACCCACAATAGTTTGCTAATTAGTGCAGTTCACAATCTTTCAGGCTGAAGCAATTCCAGGCCCAGATTTTATATTGATTCTATTGTTTTCCAGATCTGGACTTACTTTAGGTAGGCTACAAATAGTGCCAAATGTGTTGGTTTATTTTAAGGCTCTCAAGGAGAAAAACTCTGTATCGCACCGTGTTCTCCACATCGTGGCGTTGTGCATGATTAAGAAGTTGATACCAAAAACAAAAAGCACATACATCTTGCATGTTCTCGTTCGGTGTAAGATGTCCTTTTGATAATCGGCCGCACTGTTTTTCTCACTTGTTTTCCACTGTGACAGAAAAGCCTGGGAGCCGTGTTGGAGAAAGAGAACATTCGTGTCATCAAAGGTAAAGAAGTCAAGGTTGAGGTCCCAACCATCAGCTCGGCAGCCACCACTGTCCTCAAAAGCCTCTTCATGGTGCTGGGCTTCATGTACTCTGGGGACAGCTGCAGGTCAGACACCGACATAAGACATCCGGTGGCATGCCACTGCCTCAGATGAACTATAGTTACAGGATTTAGAATTGAGCAATATCTCAGTCCTTTCTGTGTGTGTGTGTGTGTGTGTCCATAGTGTTGCAGAAGACTACCGAATAGCTCTGCAGAAGACCTTCTCTTGGAAAAACCAAGTCCCACCTGACGCGCCTGATGCCCAGGGCTTTTTTGTTCGGCCACACGACAGGCAACGCAACGGCATCCGAGTCCGGACAGAAGTCCTGACTCTTAGCTTTTGGTGTCTCAACCCCGCTGTGGTGAGAGGTTAGAGATGGCACATCATGCCATGTAGGCCTGATTATCTAACGCTTTGCTCTTGGCATAAAATCCAGCATTAGCACTCTCGGGAGGTTGATTGTGTGTGTCTCCCAGGCCTTTGCCTACTTCAGGACGGCGGCGCACAGCGTTGTGCTGACTTCAGGGACCCTGTCACCCATGGGCTCCTTCTCCTCAGAGCTTGGAGTGGACTTCACCATCAAACTGGAGGCCAACCACGTGATCGACAAGTCCCAGGTCAGTAGGTACATTAGTTAATCCGTGATCCATACATCCACGAACATCGTCAAGATATTTTTATGAATTTATGTTTAGCGGTGAGAAATATGAGCCTTGTATACCTGCAGCTATAACAAAACACTCATTTGTATAAGTGGAGTATTAATGATTCTGGTCATCTCTAAAAGTTATTTTTGCTGCTGCACCGATCTGTATCAAACGTGATCACTTGAACACTTTAGGTTCCACTTTTGTCCAGCAGATGTCAGACTCTGACCATCAGATTGCAATAATGGTGTAACATGAACGTCTGGCTCAATGTCATTGCTATTTTGGCATTGCACATGAGAATGTTTTTGAAAAAGCTCATAATAAAGACATCTGTAGACATTCGTCATTTTTGTTGGCAACATGTTAATGGAAAATTCCATATGAAGTATATTGGTGACCTAAAGACTTCCAATGCCCCCCCCACCCCCTCCTCAGGTGTGGGTGGGCACTGTTGGTGAAGGACCCCAGGGCAGGAAGCTGTTGGCTACCTTCAAGCACACTGAAACGTACATCTTTCAGGACGAGGTGGGCGCGCTGCTGCTCCACGTCTGCCAGGTCGTGGCCAAGGGTGTGCTCTGCTTTCTGCCTTCCTACAAGGTAAACAGCAGCTAGACGTTCTCCACAAAAACAAGACACATGACGGCTGTGACATTTGAAACGTATTATTACGTCCCTTTGGCTGTGTTGGATACTATGAAACATATTACAACTGCAATTCCTGTCACATTCAGAATGACTTGTAGACATTTGAAAGGGATTAACATGCACTCATGTAAGGTCTAGCATATTGTAAAATTTGACAGTTGACAAATGTTGCTTATTGTTTCTGAAACATTTTCCCTGATGTACAAAAAACAAGAACATACAATGTTCTCCAGCATGTAGGAACATTTAACCAACAGGTTAATTAAACGTTATACACAAATATGATTGTAGTCAGATCTACTAATAAGTCCGTACATTTAGTTGACATGTTTACACTGAAGTGATAGGGCGGCTGTTTGGTCCCACATCCTACCACTGGGGGAGCTAGAGACCACACATTGGAGTCCGCTCTGGAGTTTTTGTTTTTCGAAGGCATTTTGTAAACTTTCCTCACCAACAAGGAGCCATGTTCAGAGGCTAAACTGAGATCCACTACATCCCTCCGCTCAGAAGCCGGTCCTGATGCGTCTGATGTTACAATAGATCACGGCTAATCAATAGAAGCACTTGTCAAGGACTTGTTAAAAGCAGTCGTCCTCATGGAACTGTATCCTCTTTCAGTTAATGAGGGCGCTTCTTAGAGGGCACTCATACACACTTTGCCCCCTTTGTTTGTTATGCGTTTTTGCTCATGAATACTTCATGTGCTCTGTAGCTCAGTTGTCACATGAGCATACATGGGGCCAAGTGGGTTTCATTTATCATTGTTTGTCCACATTGCACAAGTGGTCAGTAAGCAAATTTTGGTCAATAATTGTACTAACTGTGGGGAACCTAATGTGTTTGTTTGAGGTTATTATGAAGAAGCCCCACTGTGAGTCTGTAGTGGATCTGGAAACCTGTTTTACCCGTGGTAAATTTAGTTTGAGCTTTTTGCATACTTGCAAGGATTGTGCTCAACTTGTATTTCAACCTGTCACATGGGGCGACCGTTGGTTTGATTCCTCTGCAGTTCTTGTTTGCTTGCTATCCAGTTGCCTTCTCAAACAGCTGATGATGCTGCAAGGGGAAGCTAAGCCCAGTTGTTTTCTCATTTTACCTTCCTTTTCATCAGTTAAGCTGTGTGTATGAGCTGTGCAATCTTTCTTTTATTATTTTTTATTATTGATAGCCACGTAGGAGTCTCTCTCTCTGGGCTGATGCATAAATATTTAATCTGCAGTCAGCTCTTAAAGATGAGGAGATGAGGGGATATGAAGGGCTGGGGTATTAATTGGAGCCCGTTGAGGCCTTGTTGGTGCCGCTCAGTCTTCCCTTTGATTCGTGTGTGTGTGTGTGTGTGTGTGTGTGTGTGTGTGTGTGTGTGTGTGTGTGGGCAACACAGAGAATAGGTCATCTTCAGACGTCCCTGTTCATTGTGCTCTTGGTGATTTCTATCGGTCCCTCGTACACAGGTGTCTGTGAAGAAGGCCAAGGTGAAATGGCCTGCCAAAAAATGCACACCGAGTCTGTTGAGTTCAATTAACATCAATAACACAAATTCATAAAACATCACTCCGAATCGGCCCCTTTCTGCCTAATAGGCAACAATGAGAAATGTTGTTTTCTAGCATTCGTTTTGGTGCAATTAAATGACTTCAGGGAACTCATTAGTACCGTATTGGTAGTATTCGTACACCGCTCTATACTTTTCTTTTTTAAGATACACAGATACAGCAGCATGCCTATAATTATGGTCACACGCACAGACTTTCCTGATGGCCTGCAGCATTGCAGTGGCCCTGTAGTCCTCCGGTTAGTGGTTATTAGGACCATAGCGGGACCCGTGGCCGAGTCCCCGCCACCAAAGGCATCGACCAATACAGACGGGTTATTAAAAAAGCGGGATTTTGCTGAGGTGAAAAGATGGAGGGGAATACAAGATGCTTTTAAGGGAGATGGATATAAGGGCCATTAGGTGATGTCGCCTCGCTGTCTGTGTGATGAAGCGCCTGGACTCGTGTGTGTGTGTGTGTGTGTGTGTGTGTGTGTGTGTGTGTGTGTGTGTGTGTGTGTGTGTGTGTGTGTGTGTGTGTCAAATCATAGTCGAAGCGGACATCACACACTGTCCTCAGCAGCTCTATAGCACCAGTCACACAAAGTGAGACTGTCTGTGTTTGGAAGCACTTTGGATTCTTGGCTCAGTTTTCCCAGCGTCGCATATCCCCACGGGTTTTTTTTTAGAGCCGAGTCGATGTTTTATATGAGTTTTTACAGTGGAAACTTCAGTATTACTGCGGTGTGACTAAGCTCCCCTTTTGGGAGGCTGAGAGGTTCAGATTCAATGGGTCAAATGTAGCATCAGTAGTCTCCTTGTTCTGATATCTCCTTCAACCACCAATACAGTACAACTTGATTTTAAAAATGTGAAATGCCAAATGTCCGTTTTTATAATTAATTTAATTTAAGCACAATATAATTTACTTTATCAACAGATTATTGGGCTTGTAGAGAATGGAGAAACTAACTAATCCACTATTTCTATGAGGGAAATACAGTAGTTGCTCCAGTTGATAGACAAGGCTGGTGATATTAATCGTTTTACATATATCAACATTTCCTACGAAAAGATTTGCTCATAATATAAACTTTAGTCAGATATGAAAGATTAATCTGTCATAATCTACACTTGGTATTCAGTTCTGATTAACACCAGCAGGGTGTTTGTGCAGCTCTCTCGCTGTCTGTCTGTGTGTGTGTGTGTGTGTGTGTGTGGCAGCAGAGGTGGCAGGTGGCTTCTGGCCACCAGTCTTGGCGTGATGGTTACTGTGATATTTTGGGGCTAAATAATTTACACGGCAACAACACGTCTCCCCTCGCCACCGCGAAATGTGGCTCCTGGCTGCATGTTTCATTAATGCCGTGGCCTCCCAGCCTATTTCATAATTCATCAGGCACTAGGAGAGCTGCGACGTGTCGCCACACAGCTCACTGACACCGGGGACGCAGGGAGGGAGGTAGAGGCGGAGAGGCCGGATGTGAAGGAGGTGAAAGATGGGGGAGATGGTGTCGGGGGAGTGTGACAAGGACTACAGTTGACTGCTTTTATCCAGTTGTTTCACCACATTGTCCCAACTGGCAGGAAGACCTGGCCCACTTTGATGTGTCGCTCACAGCGGCTGAGCATTGCACCTACCAGGTCTCAAAAAGGCTCTGAATAATTCACTTTGTTGTGCCGTTTATTTGCTAAATATCACTCATTCCCAGTTATGTCACTGTGCTCCTTCAGAACTTGCGTTCGCATTTGAATTGATAATTTTACGATCTTTTAAAGAACTACCTGAAAAATAATTATCTGCAGGAAAAATTAAAGAGTGATTTAAACAGACATTTTACAGCTCGGCCCAGAGTGCCAACTAAGCACCAGGTCTCTGTCAGATGTTGTCCCTGAATTATTCACAAAGGTGTTCATGTCTGTAATTTCTGTGTTGAGAGTCTGACACTCACATGGCTGAAAGCCTTTGCTGAAGGTGCTGAAGATCTGTATGACTGCACAGCGAGGTTCTCTGCTTCACACCTACGTCCATGCAGCTGGATTTATCGGACCCGCCTCGTGATGTATGTTGCTTGGTTGAACTCGAACACGGTGTAATGTAAGCGGATGAAAGGGTCAAACACAGTTTGACTCGACACTTCTGCGTCGTGATTTGATATGAAAATTAGAGGCAGCAAAATGTCACGGTCTCACCAATACTAAAACTAGTAGTGATTCATTATCCTGTGATCATAGAGAGGCGTCAATCATTTCCAATGAACCGAGTGGTACCGCCCATGTACCACTTTTATTGGACTTTATCTCGAGTGCCAATGTTTTAATCGATGAACGAGAAAGAATATTCACTGGGCAAAGATGCATCAAACTCACTGGAGGGGGCAGCTGTCTTACAAGAATCTTCAACTTCATATGGATTTGTTTTTGCAGCTCATCTGTCAAATTGTGGTGTTGTGGACAGCAGCTTATGCTAAAGCCTCCTGGGGGATCAGAAAAGGTCTGATCCCCCAGAGACTCCTTCAGATTTTCCTGTATCTGATCAGAGAGCCTGTTTTTCCTCAGCCCTCTTTGCGTCAGCACATGAGCGCCAGTGTTTTCCCCTACCAATGAACAAGGAGGCCCCCCCCCCAAGTCTGGATTTAAAACAAAAAGTAAACTGTCCACTCCTTGCCGCCCCCCCTGCCTTGTCGGCCGGTCTGTTGTAAACCTGGGGGAAACACAGTGCTCCTTTCAAGTGCAGCCTGGCAGATAATTGCTGTTTTGTTTAGTAGTAGATCTTCCTGAAGTACATAACATGCATTATTCATCTCCCACTCAAGATTGTGCTGGAAAGCTATTGGAAGACAAATAGTTTGCCGAGTTGAAGACGCACGTATTGGGGGGTCCTTGTCGACGTAACACTGCATATTTAGTGAATGCGCAATGTTTTATTGATGCAAATGTCTCGGCCTCGCCTGCTTTAGGAAGCACTAACCTGATGAAATCTCGCCCCATGCTTCATTTCACCACCGTGAGGAAATCCCACTGCCACACAGGAAAGCACAACACGGTGTTGTTGTGAACTCCCCTTTCTGTGTTGTGTTTTTTGAGGGAAAAGAACAAGTTGGATGTTCATGGCGGTAAATAGAATGGATGTATTGTTCCCTCCCATCCGGACCAGGCTGTACCGTTTCACACCGTTAGCCGGCGGAGTTGTTTCCTGCAAACTTTCACCCTTTTAGCACGCGTCCAAGCCAGTGGAGCTGCGTTTTGATCTTTTGAAGCACTGCTTATTCAAGGGCATGATCTGCCCAGCTCAGATATGAGGGGACCCACAGGATGGCAGCTTTTAGGTCAATGTGCCTCAGTCTAGAGAAGTGATTATTGCACAAGGACAAGGGTTTCATTTCAAAGCATCAGCCTTTAAAGCAAGTAAAAGGAAAGCAAATAAAGCTCAGCTATGCGGCTAGAAGCTAAATGCCCCATTTGTTCTTCGCATGTTCCAGTTTCCATCATCCAGTTGTCTACATAGGCCATGTTCTTATACACTTCAGTAGCTTGTAGCTGAAGATGCACGCACTCAGTACTCGGTTCCACTGTGATAATGACGGCTCCCTCCACCAGATAAAGATCCCTTTTGTCCATGGATGATCTGAGATGCTTTTTTCATGTACTTGAAAAGGAAAAGCATCTGATTTATCTGTCCCCGACATCGTTCCGCAAAGTGTATTGGTGTTTCCCACACATAGACTAATGCAGTGCAAACAACAAGTAGTATAGGGTGTGAAATGTGTACTACAGCTATGCGAGTTGTGTATAGTGTGAATTGTGTATAGTTCTATCTAGTGATGTGTGTTTTAGTGCGACGTTTGTATAGCCGTGAATCCCTGTTTTGTATTTACTCCAATAAAGTTCTGTGTTCCAAATTAATATTGAACAAAATATTCCAGTTCAGCGGTCTGCCTCATCAGACCTCAATGTGAAAAAAAACATGTTGGATATCTGTACTGATGTGTTGGGGTTCAAACATTTCATTCGGATTCCTGATGGCAGTCAGACTGCCGTTCTCTGGCCTGTAGAGGTCTGTGCGTCCCCCCATGGTTATGCTCCACAAACCATCACTGACACCCCACCAAACTGGACATGCTGAAAATGTTTGCAGGCATCAAAGCGTTGTCTTTGACTTCGCCATCATCACGTCACAGGTGCTCAGGGTGCCAGTGGCGGTCCTGCCAAACTGGTGTTCTATAGCAAATGCCAATTGAGCTCCACAGTGCTGGGCTACGAGCACAGGTCACACTGCAGGACGTCGATCATCATGAAGTCTGTTTCTGATTGTTCGGGCAGAGACATTCACGCCAGTGGCCTGCTGGGCGTCATTCTCTGGGGCTCGAGCAGTGCTCAACCTGTTCCTCCTTGCACAAAGCAGCAGATATCAGTCCTGCTGATGGGTTGAGCTCCTGTCCAGCTCTCCTAGATCAACGGTGTGTCTCCTGGAATCTCCTCCATGCTCCAGAGATTGGTCCGGGAGACAAATCTCCTTGGATGTGCCATCCTGGAGGAGTTGGACATCTGTGTAACTTCTGTTGGGTTAAGAAAGGGCCTCATGCTTCCAGTAGTGATAATGACTGTATCTAAATCCACGACTAGTGGAAAACCAGTCAAATAGATCAAGAGAAAGAAACTTGAATTGGCCTCCACATGCAAAACCAGTCCTGTTTTGAGGGTTGTCTCATTGTTGCTCCGCTAGTGAACCTGTTGTTAATTCCATCAACAGCAATGCAGCTGAAACTGATTAACATCCCCTTTGCTACTCACCAGATCAGTATCAGAGACGTGCAATTGAATTCATACCGAAACAGAGTCCTGTTAATTTCTTTTGAGCAGTGGAATAATTAGGATTGTAATATTTACATTTCATTTTACACCAAAAACCATGAATGCCTCTGATCTGTAAATTGAAGTCTGTCGTCAGAGATTCCATGCCTTATGTTATTCATGCAAATCAAATGTCAATACTAATGAAGTTCTGCAGTTGACAAATGTACGCCATGAAAAAAAAATACATTTAATGCAGATCCGCTTGGACAACATATCATGGCAATCCCCCAAAGTTCTTGTGATGCAGTCCTGCAGTGGTCATTTACCAGATTGTTTTCCAAAAATGTGGCTACAGACAACTCTTTAACCACAGCATTACCTATGAGTGTAGACACTACATGCTGCTCCTAGCCCTTTTGTGGATTTGGCTCTCGTGATTCCAATTCATTGTCAAGTTTCCACTCTTTGAACAAAACCCGAGCAGGCATCTCTATTCACACAAGATCATGTGATCTGATTAGATGCTGGACAAGCTGCGAGAGCGATGGAACAACACTGGCCTCTGGGAAAAGCTGGAACGACACAAAGCTGTGATCCCAGAGCCCCGCGGGGGGGGCAAAGGGGACTTTGACGAACTGCTCCAGCAATACTACGACGCCATCAAGTACTGCGAGGAAGAAAGAGGTGAGGCGTGCTACTGTCGTGGCGACCTTTGACCCTGCTGAGAGCTTTGCTCTATCACTCTGTACAGCTAGTTGGTGCTGAATTACCTGATATTGATGGAGTTTAATGCTTAAGATGTCATATGTACAGCTGCTCCGCTGCTGACATCATCCTAATTGGCGTGGTTCATTTTGCATTCTGTTTTCACTGTTGACACGTAGGTTTGTTCATTACAGACGGCGCGCTGCTCATTGCCGTCTGTAGGGGCAAAGTGAGTGAAGGGCTGGACTTCACTGATGACAATGCCAGGGCCGTCATCACCATTGGAATCCCCTTCCCAAACATCAAAGACCTCCAAGTAAGTCGATTTAAGAGCGGCCTGCTGGATTATGGCAAAAATCTTCATCGTGTTTTGGGCGGACGCTCGCTCTGTCCGCTGGTGCAAGCGTGCATACATGAACATGCGTGCACGTGTCAGGGTGGAAAAGAACATATTGAATTTTTTTTTCCAGATCCAGATATTCTTGGGGGGGGGGGTGAGGGGGGGGGACACTGCTGCCACATCAACGAGATAAAGAAAAACTACTGACTTAAAGGTTTTTTTTTTTTTTTAAAGAGAGCAATATTGTTTTAGCCTTTAGCCAAATAATAATTTGAACTAAAATGATTGTTATTTCTGTATGTATTGTAACGTATTTTAATTATCCACTGAACAATACAGAGTAGTTTAGCGAGTGTTTGAAACCGTCCGTGTAATTCTAAATCCTAGAATATCCACATAGAAGCTAAAAGTTTTGAAACCATGAACACAAAAGTAGATCTCACAGATGTACACACGCAACCACTAAGGGCACCTCCTTTTGGTGATCCGTAAAGAATAGTCCCAAAGCGACGTGTGTGTGTGTGCGCCCCATCCTCAGCATATAAAGTTGACCTTTAAGTTTAACTCTCTCACTCTGCCCACCTTCCCTCCCTCCTCCTTCGCCCCCACACCCTCCCTGTCAGAGCACGACGGTGCTTCCACTAACCTGTTCTGTCAGTGTGGCCAGACGTGTGGCTGATTGAAGCCTCCCAGAGCTTCCACCTGAGCCAAAGCTGTCAGTTTCCCCACCGTCAGCTCTCGGGCCATCGCTTCATCGTTTTGATCACTTTGTTTTTATCAGCGATATTGTTTTGGGGTTTATATTCATGGTCTAAAGCATCCCTCAAAGAAGATCATATTAGAGTTTTTACCTCATGGGGTTTGACAATAAGAGACAGGTTTTTGTAGTCATGGTGACACTGGATGGAGTCTCTTATTGTGCCAGGGATTTGAACCCCTGTGGAACACTAGTGTCCATCACTAATACCAGTACCGTGTACAAAATATTACTCCTAATCTACAAGTCTATACCCTTGGATTGAAATATATGCCACTATATGCAGTCCTAACAATAACACTGCTGATTCTAATAGAATCCACTAGATGACCGTTTGAGGTTAAGGTAACAAATATTATAGAAATATCCAACCTTTAAAAGAAGAAAATGATTCTAATGACTAAATATAGTCTGTTAAGAGTCCATTATAGCGTTTGCTGCCAAGTAGTAAATGCAGAACTAGACCCGATTGGGGCTGATTTATGAAAACTCAATGCGTATATGCTGTTGACCTAAATGTGACTTGGCAGAAAGTCTTTCATCAGATATCAAGTATTACAAACAAGTATTTTCTTTGGGTCAGCAATTGATTTTTGTTCTTCTCTGGTACATTGCTCCATTAATGTCCAAATACTCGTATAATAAAATAACAGTTTTCAATGGAAATTGATTGGAATGTGATTGACATTGGAATGTGATTGACAGGCCGCTAGCCGTAATCAAATATGGCCTAACCCAAGGCTTCATAACAGTAGTCCACAAACCATTGACTTTGGTACATATAGCATGTTATTAAACTTCTTAGCAATAACCCTAATAATCCTACCTTGCTTCAAACTACTGGACACAGTTGATAGCAGCCAGATGAAGAGACAGAAAAGCCGGGACCGGATTATGGACAGGAAAAATCACGCTGAGATCTGCGTTTAATCTTATCTTCTCTCGTTAACAATAAAGCGTATTAATTTATTCACATTAAATCATCTCTGTAGCTTTGTAGTCGTCGTCGTCCTTTGACGACATATCTAGTCAATGTCGTAGTCAGCGCTAACTAGGGATGCAGGTATTGGATTTTACCCGATATTTTCCAACAGTGTTTCCCCTCCCTTTGAACAAGGGTCTGTACCGCAGTCAGCCACGTGCGCATGCTCGCACCAGACAGAGATATTCCCACTGAAAGAAAGAAAACTAAAGTAAACTAGCTTATTTAGACGCAAACCCTGTTTGGCCAAATCCATTGTGGATGGATGGAGCAGAACACCAGGAGAAGAAGCCGATGCTTGTCAGGCCAAGGTGGAGCTGACCAAGCGTGAAGACGCCGTACATTTCTAATGATATTTCCTCTTCTCCACATGAGCAGCCTTTGTTTATTTGCTACATTGGCTCAGCCCCTCAAAGCGCCTCATCTGTCTTGTCTTAAGTCTTTTATTGCATCAGGTAGGCCGGTGTAATGCTGGTTACTGCTGACGCTTTGCCTTTGCACTGCCTTTTAAAGTCACACAAAACCCTTCAGATTTGGTATGTGTTAACCCTTTATACTTTAAAAAAACACACACTTTACCCTCTTGGGGTAAAGAGGGACAGCAATGGCTCCATAGCAATGAAGTTTGAGCGAGAGACAAATGTTTCAACCAGTGTCATGAATTCAAAATCTAGAAATATAACTGTGTGTGTGGTGGTGGTGGGGGGGGGGGTTGTAACTTCATCACCAAGGCACACCGAAAGAGGCACACCGGTAAAAAAAAATATTTTAAATAAATGTATAACGAGTACAATTGCAAACAAGTTGTAAGATATATTTATAGCATATGGTCGCACCTACGAAGTAAAGAAAAGCGCACGTAACTGCTCTGAACCGGTGTCAGACACCGTGTTTGAGGGTTACCGCCTCTTGATGCACCGATGACCTTTGAGGCCACAACTCACTGCTGCAGCGTCAGCAATGGAAGTTTTGGACAAAGACCCCTCTGGTTCACTGAGGTGTGAGTTGAAAATCTTTTCAGTTCACCCGCGCTACGCAGTTGGCTTTACTAGATCTGTCTTCGCCCATCCTCTGACCACCAGATGATGATCAGTTAACATCTCTGCCCCTCTCTGTACCCAAGTGTCCAACACCTGCAACCTCAGATCAGACGATATTCTTACAAAATCGATCGTGTTGATCACAAGATGTGATCAACACGAGCAAGCAACAGCTTATAAAAACAACGCTGTAAAACGTGTGATACAATTTGCCTAATCATGCTTTTATTTACACGTCTTCTTTGCTTCTTAATCTTCAGCTTTGCATGATTCTCCTTCTGTTTAGTTGTCCTTTTCTCCCCAGTTATCTTCTCTTTCCGTGGCGAAGGCAGTGTGGCCCCAGGACAAACCCTTGGGGGCTGTAAAGATCTTTGAGCTAACCCCATTATGCTGCTGAGAGAATAGAGACACTGACACTAATGCCTGTCAAAGCTACGCATCTAGCCGTTGGCGCCCCGTTAAAGGAGCACTCTGTCAGAGAGGAGAGGATCTTAAAGGGGCCACACACACACACACACACACACTTAAAGGCAGTGGTGCATGTAATGGTAATGGTCACTATTGGATAATCAATACAATTACATGGAATGGTCAATGCTACTAAAAGAGGCATACAGAAATGTGTGTCTAGAAGTAATTCTGCAGGGTTCTCCATGGTTCTTTCACGACGTGGTTCCACTCGAGGCGACCCTCTGTAGCATAATGCAGCTCTGCTTTGACTCGCTGACCTACAGACGTATCGCTGTTGACACCGCTCGTTTGTTTATTCTTTTTGATCGTCAGTTAAGCTGCAAGCTGTATCACTGAGAGGCAAGCGTCGTTTCAAGGACAAGTAATGGGCTTTATTCTGTTCTGTATTATGAGTGACAGGCCGATTAAAAGCATTTGGCCCGGGCAAGTTAATGTGCTATTATCGCGTTAATGCATTAATCAATTAATGCATTAATCTATTTTATTGCGCTGAAGAGTTTAACCCAGTTTTATTTATATTTTATTTATTTTAATATTCATGCATTTGTATTCACTGACTTTGACATGTGACAAACCATGGGTCCGAGGTGGGATGCTGATCAGTATGGGCTCGGGAGTGTCAGTGTCATCACACGTCTCGGTTAAGGGCGTTTCAGGCCGGGCCTTATAATAATGCCTCCCATCTAACATTTTAGGTTTTCCTTTTTCATATCATTGTCTTCTGTTGCTCTACAAAGCAGACGAACATTGTGGTCAATCAATCAGTTCTTCGAATGCAGGTACTTTGTTGATCCATTCAGTGACCAGATGTATGCATTGTAAGTGTAATCATCGCGATGCTAATTGGACTGTCTGTTCCTCATGTTTCACCGATCTGTGATGCCGTTTGGCTCTGCCCCCTAGTTGTTGACTTTATTTAACAAAGTGTCGTTAAATGCTTTTGAAGACCAAGTTAATGCAACGAAAAAGGTGTAAAGCACTTCTTTAACTCATTTCGTTTAATAGACCAACACTCACACAAAGGCCAGTATGACTCTGCTCCAGACCGTGGTGAGTTAGTTAGTTTGTTGATGCTCACTTGGTGGTTTCACTACCTCCCTCTACCAGCAGACAGCTCCCTGTGTACTGGGAGCGCGCCCACCGTCCCAGTCTCATACGAGCGGACACAGAAGAAGAGGTTTGACGTTGACCGACATTGACACCATGTGCTCAGGTAGACACTATATTTAGTGTGCTAATGACCTCTTTCACTTTTTATATGTAACACTGGCTCTAAATTCCCTTGATTGACAAATCAGACTGGCCCTGTATCAGGCTTATGTGTTATGTGAACACATTTTCACTGGCACAAGTGCTTCCTATCAACGCCACATCTACACAACAACCGCTGAGAGGGACTCCGTCAGTGTAAACACACACGCATGCGTGACCTGTTCTTATGTTGTCACGTCCCTGCACCGGTGCCAGCATGTGGACACGCTCTCCAGAGCACACATGGACCCAGACGTATTCATTCATTCATTCATTCTATGCCGCAGTCCCACGGCAGCACCCCGTTGCTAGGATAAGAGGTGTAAGCCCAGCTTCTCTCCATTTAAACTACTCCAGCACTTTAGACTGCCTGCATTCCCAGACAGGCATAAGTCTCTGAAGCTACAGCCTAAGCACAGAGCATGGCATTTTACTGGCCTGTTGTGTTATTGTGACACAGATCAAAGGTTGAACTTGAAAAGTCCTCTGCAGAGAAAGGCCTGCCAAAGGTGGTATTACATTTATGTTGGGTTTTTCCGAACGGCATGTTTTACAGAGAACAGTCACGTCCTGCGTGAGTGGGTCAAACAATAAGTGGCTTTAACAAGCAATAAAAAGACACTTACTACTGATAAGGCATCTCTTCTAGTTTAATGAAGGGCTCAGTTCACGTCTTGCTGCTGCTTTTTATTAAAGACAACCACGAGAGCGCTTTAATTCTGAGGCCTGCTGGCATGTAAAACGGGTGGATAAAAGGGATTTTGGAGGAATGTTGAAGAGTTAGTGGAAATCCTTGAAGAGGGGAGGATGGATGCTCCAGACACACTGAAGACGGTACACTTGGCTTTATCATCAGCCACTGAAGGCAGGCTATATAAAACACGATCAGCTCTCGTACTGTCCCTGTCAGCACCACAGGCCAGCTTTAGAAAGATCTTAGTCAACATTGTTCTGTTAAAGCGGTTAAACCCTGCAACCCAGCACTTTACCACCATTTATTGCTATGGCTGGCTTCTGCTTTAGGATGGTATTCATACTATTATCAATGTAATTCAAACTTTCAATCTATACACCAAAACCAAACTTTTATTTATTTTATCAAATAAGCCAATTAAAAAATAATAATACGAGCAGCTGGGCACAAACATTTGCCGAGTTTGAAATAAACCAGGAACCAACAAGCATCTTTGAGATGTAGTTAAGACAGGCCTCAAAATTAAGCAAAGATTCAAATTATACCATCATGTAATTGCTTAGTCGGACTATGCTATCTCTCAGGGCAAGTGCTATTATCCCAATATACATGGCAGTAAATAAATCGAATCATTGGCCGAAAGCATGTCATATCTGATACGATAGGTGGCGCTGTTAGTTGTGATACAGCCATTTCCGCTTGACCTCAACAACATCAACATTACGAGAAAGATGGCGAACGGAGAGCAAGGTGAAGCTACATCCCTCTACTATCTGTGCATGATGTTAATAGGAGCGCAGCGAATGCGAATGGCGCTATTGGCTGATTTGATAACGGAGAGAAGACGCCGTCGGGATCTCAAGCATGCGCAAAGATGCAAAGTCCAGTTCCTCATCCGATTCACCGTTACATGCCGCAATAGTCGAACTATCAACTGGATCGGATCGAGTTATCCAGGGGTGTTAGTCGGATCGTAGTCGGACCGCACATAGTCGGACAAAGGTGTTTACATGAAACGGATAATTCGATTTCAGTCCGACTAAGCCAGTTATTCGACTCCATGTAACCACGTGGCAGGGAGGGTCGGAATAAAGAATTGTGTCTAAACATGATCAAGCTAATATAGGGTACATTCATGCCCATGTACTCTATGACCTCTCCACTTGCCAAATTAACTCTTCATTTGTTCTGTCTCTGACTAGCGAGCCTACCTAGCTGGGAGCTATCTACCTACTCGTTATTAAAAAACGATTGGTGCCAGGTTTAATGCTTTCATCTCTTTTTGATATGAAGACGAGACAAAACACAGAATGAAACGTGTCTCACTCGGTCCCACAGCCCGGTTCCAGAATGATCCATTCACAGGTGATATCTACAAACTTGACTTTTCCATTCATTCATATTCTGAAGTCAACTTGGAACAAAAGAAGGCAACTATAACAAATAAGGAGGATTCGGGGTGTAGACTTGCTGTCAGTTGATCCATGAGCATGCTTGCACACGTGCACACACACGTGCACACACACATACACACACTCACACATGCGTGGAAACTGTCTTCAAGATGAGCCACTCGTCTGTCAGCTCAGCCTTGTGTGACAGACGAGGCGCTTAGCAATCTCAGTGACAAGCACAAGATGTCTCGGACTGCTGGAGGTAACACACACACACACACACACACACGCAGCCCCAAAATGTGGCTCAAACAGATGCGCTCAGCTGCGAATCATGCCTAGTGGTCAAATATATGTTTTTAGGGTTGAACAGGTTGCCGTGGAGGACAAGGCCAAAGCAAGCGAGTGATCTCTTGACATTTTAACTAATCCCTTCTAGCTTGTGGTTTCTTGCACATTTGCTAGCAGCCAGAATTGGCTTTTTCACATATGCAACCTGTCATGTTGGATTGGACTATGACATGGTACGGACGGGGGATGTGATGGCTCCAACGCTGAGATGGACTGCGATTGGATTTAGATGACACCGCCGGCCCCGGGCTGCTGCCCTTTCTGTTCACGCTGTGGCTTCAGAAGTGGATTGTTTAACTGCTTCTGGTGTCTTATACGTTCCGACAAAAAAATTCTCAGCATGAAGCCAGCAGCGTTAACGAGGCTATGTGATCTGCCTCCCGTTGACGGGCACAGATGAAAGCTGTGGTCTCTAACAATCCTGAAAAGCCCACAGCTGCTTCATTCAACCCTAAAAGGTTCCTTCTGTCGCTCCGTTGTTGATGTGCGTCGTAGGTGAGGTGTTGTTAGTCATAGTCCAGCTTTGGGCCGACATTTAGCAATTCCTGTGACTCTGCTTGTTTATGTACAGGAGCCTGGACAGGCCGCATTGCGTGATTTGCGTGAGGGGACAAGCGCTACCTGTTTGGTGGCTCAAGGCAGAACACACGGTACCTGTCAAAAGCAGTTAAAGCCCTGTTCAGCAGCCCGCCCGCCCCGGCATCCCATCAGACGCCAACTGAACTTTTCACTTGTCAATCCTGAAAGGTTAGCACTAAAAATCGTCCGCGACGGATGCAAATGGATGGATGCTCTCCTGGCATTTTTGTGCAGGGATGCTTCACGTCACCTCGGCCACCTTGTTCGTCTCCTCCTGCGTCCTCTACACCCGACCATGGCCTCTCTTTAGCCTCTCTCCGCTCCTTTCACAGCACATCTGGGATATTCATATTTGTTTGGTGTTTGGTTTGCTTTCCTCTTGTATCCAAAATGTCAAAAACCATCATCTCCCGGAGCTGCCCAAAATGGCTGGCTACAGGTTTTTAGTTGTGTTCAATGTTAATTTGGTGAGTCTCGCCTTTTCCATTGGGGTATTTTACCTTATTTCTTTTACAGACGTAGACTTACAGATTGGGGAGAAGGCGAGGCGAATTCTAACCAAAGATCAGATGGTATACGTTCAAACCACATGGTCACAAAAGTGCCTTGTGATTGATGTTTATCCCACAAATTTTGATCCCATCAAAACAACTTCCTGAAAATGTGGTTTCTGACATAAGCACAACCAGTTCAGTGGAAGACCGAGCAACTGAATATTTCTGTTGATAAAATGGTCTCAGAAGTAGGTTCATTAATGTTGTCGCAGAAAATACACCATCTCTAGTTACTAAAATGCTTGAAAATATATAAGATTTTATTTTTCTCACCCTTGTAAATGTCTAATATCTCTTGTGGGGGTTATTCTCTCAGTGTGACTCACAAATACTTTCCGACTTTGAGACAACACACACAGTGACCACTGCTCATTTAAGCAAACCCTAGAACCTTTACACCCTGCACAACTCTATTTCAATTGATTGAATCGGTTTTATTCTCCAACTGAAATTCTCCGCTACTCACAGAGGTAGAGAGGAGTCTATGCTGATAAAACCGAAAACCTGTGGTTTCAGGTGGAGCTGAAGATGAAGTACAATGACCAACACTGCAAATCCAGAGATCTCCTTGCAGGCCATCAATGGTACGAGATTCAGGCGTACAGAGCTCTGAACCAGGCCCTGGGAAGGTAAACCTCACTAATCTTGTTTCTCCAAAATCATCTTTTTGTCCTCACTTTCATGCCTAAACCCTCAAAACTCATCCCACAGGTGTATCCGCCACAAGAATGACTGGGGCGCGCTAATTCTGGTGGATGAACGTTACGGGAAATCCAACAAGTACATCACAGGTACCCCAGAATGTGGACTGTCTGTGGCTGTAATGTCTGCACAGCCTCTCGTGCTGAACACCAGATGGCAATGGTTCTCCACAGTAGCATTGTCTGTCCCTGATGTGTGTGTTTTTGTGACCTCAGGTCTGTCTAAATGGGTCCGCCAGCTGGTGCAGCATCACCACACGTTCAACAATGCCATGCGCTCCCTGGTAGCCTTCTCTCAAGTGCAGCGGAAGGTGCAGGGGCCTCCCGCTGCTGTCTCACCTCCAAACGGTCACCCGGGGGCGCGGGGTCTGCCCGATGCCACAGATCCTCAGACCCCCGCCTCATGTGTCAAACAGCCTGAGCCCCAGCAGGACACAAGTCTCTTCACTAGTGCACAGGGGAAGGCGACGCAAAGGGAGAAAGCAGGTGAGCTCAGTTGCAAGCTGAAAGTAGTTTTGTAAATGCAAGGTGCATTGTACTGAGGATGTAAGTCTTAATGACTGGGTAAAATCACAAAGGCTTGATCATTTCCACACACCAGGTCACTGTACACGGCCCCCACTCACCCTGGTAGAGTTTACGAATTGTCTAGTCATGAAACAGAAAATGAGAGGAAAAGAAAAATGTTCTTAAAAATGTCTATAATAAGATATGATTAAAACATTCTCTCTTCAGCTGAGAATAAAGTAGATCAACATATGAAATGCTAAGTTATGTTCAGGATTATATTCAAGTCTAAATGGATGAGAATATTTGAAATCAATGGTGTAATGTGTAAACACAACTCCAAGTCACGTAGCACGGCACACAAGCAGCTTGAATGACTCTTATAGTCCTAAACGGTTTAATAATTCAGAATTGGTCAGCGTTTTTGTTTAAACAATGGCTGTTTTCTTGCATTATTCTATGATAAGCTTGTAAAGGATGATTTGTTTGATAAATTAAAGCCAAAGAATGCACATCTTTTTAATTAATGTTAGTTCATGTTAAGATCCCTTCATAGTCTAACCTGCTATATCAACATCCTCAAAATACATTTGTCCGTGTGTGTTCATAAAAAGAACATGCCAGGCTTAATGAGGCTGGCTCATTAATGTGTTTAAAATGATTGGTTTTTGGAATATGCTGGTACAGAGAAAGGAGGTTATTATTGAAGGAATTCTTTCAGACTTATCTTTTAAAGCATTTATGCAGGAGTGTATTCTTTGTCCATGTTTTTGGTGGAATGTAGTAAATCCAAATGTCCTTATTGTGTACATTTTAGTGTGTGCTTTGGTCCATTCAAACGATGATGGGGATGCATTGAGATCTCCTGATAAACCTAAACAGATGCATTGAGAAATATTACAAATATAACCAAGTTTCTTACTGCCTGAGAGCTAGTTTTTCCTCCTCTTTCTTCTTTTCTTTTCATTTTTGTATGAGCATGACATCACCAGCTCCCTACATTATGTTTATGTGACGTGTATGAGCATTTACCCGGCCAGCGACCCTTTGTCTTGGGGTCATGACCAGGTTGAGCCGTTTGCCCAGTTGAATTGAATAGCAGAGGAGTAGCAGACCCCCCCACCCCCTCCCTCGTAGGTGGGGGTGGGGGCCATGGGATCCGTTGAGTGGCTGGCCTCATTACTGTAAGGTCTTTGCGTGCCTGAGTGGCGCTGGAGCGAGCTGATGAGCAGATGTTGGACTGTTGCTTTTAATTAAATCCCCTTGACCTTTGTTTGAATTATATTGAGCGTAAGCCTGCGTTTATGTCTTTCTTTATAAGAAAGCCATGGTGGCCATGGTGCTCTGCGCAGCGCTCTCGTTTCATGGTGAGGCGTAAATGTGTCTTTGTGGCACAGTGTCCGCTTTGTTGTCGTTGTTAGCGTTCAGTTATGTGATGAATATCAGCCCCAAACTGATTAGTCTTGTTTCCTACATGCAGAATGGTCAAAGGTGAAGCAAAGTCCTACCACATCGCAACAAAAAAACGCTGCTAAGCCTCCGTACAGCATTTTCACCTCCAGCCCCAACTGCTTGAAGAAGCCGATTTTTAAAAGAAAAGCAGCCTTTGAGTCCAGGAAGCACATGGAAACATGGTGCGACTCAAAGCCTGATGATCAGCACCAGACCTGTGCTTCACAAAGGAAAGCTGAAGCCACTTGTCCTACGCAAGGGGCTGGAGACGGGGCCGTCGAAGTCCGAGGGGAACCCCACGAGCTGGCTTCGGAGTCTTCTCCAGAAACGAGCCCGCCCAGCTGTGAGAGGGAATTGCCATTAAAGGACAATCCTGGCAAAGAGGAAGAGGAGGAAGAGGATGGGAGCGAAGAGGACGTAAGCATCTATTTCACTCCAGAACTTTTTGAGGGTGAAGACAACGACGAAGAAGAAACACCACAGAAAGAGACCAAATCAGCTCCCAGGGTGCTTTTGGTGGCAGAGAGCCCCACCCTCCCGTCAGAAGAACTCTGTGGCTCCGAGGAAGCCCGAGCTTCTGATGGAAAGGCTGCTTCAGTCGGGAAGGAGAGCAAAGAGCTGCTAACACAGCGGCAAGCTGAGGAGAGAGAGCAGGTGGAGAAGAGCAGGTCCAGAAAGCCAGCTCCCTCCACCCCTACAGGTAACTAACAACCTGGATGTCCCGATTGTCCCTGTGTTTTATAATGTTGCGTATGCAAACAAAGTTCATATAGCAGGTCAATGCACATCGGCCAATCAGGAGGTTGATCTAGAAACTGATTGCAGGGCGGCTTACCGGGTTCAGTTCAACCTTCACACGCCGAGTATCTACATGTGATGTGCTCCAGCAGCCTCGGGCCCCTACACGCACACACCCATGCATGCAAACACACACACACACACACACACACACACACACACACACACACACACACACACACACACACACACACACACACACACACACACACACACACACTAAATACAGTAAATCATGTCACTCACCATCCACACAGTAACTGATGAGGGATCAGCATCTGATCTAGTGTGACAACATTAAGGCCACGAAGGCCAGTTCTCAGTTAAAAAACTCATGTCTTTATTGAACGTGCGTTTTAACGAATCATTAAAATACAGAACCACACACCAATTAGTTTTCCTCTGAGGTAGGTAATCATTGAGTTTGGTTTTAATGATGTGTTTGCAGATGATGGATGATGAACATATTTTAGACATGCCTGATTAAACCAAAAGAGGAGACTTTTGTTTTTCAATTCCACTTATGTAAATGAAATGTACCCTAAACTCAAATGGTGTTGATACACATTTGATTTACATTCAATAAGGGTTCCTATCAATTCTGTTAATTCACAATAAAGCTGAATGTTAGTGTTTCATTGATTTGTTATCCTTTTTTCTTCTGATATGTAATGATACGTAATGAAGAGAGGCTCTTCTGTTGCAAGTGGTTGTGGTTCGGGTCATTTAAACCACTATATATACTGATGGGTAGTTTACGTTTATGTTCTATATGTGGTCTTGATCTGAATAATAACTACTTTGACCAGCTCCCAGTTACACTTTGCTGCACAGTAAAGACAAAACATAATTTTACAATTGAGCATTTTGTCCATTAATACCAGTGAGCGTAGACTAGAATACTATAAACACATGCATTCCATATAATGAATCTAAACGCATAAGACTAAGCCGGTGATGATCATTTACGGTGTACTTTCCATATTTGCCGTCGTGAATAATTCCCTGACATTTAGACCGTGACCTCCTTTTTGTGTTTTATCCACGGCGAAAAACCATGTAATCAACAATTTAATGGCCATACGTGATTGTTTTAAGGAGCCGAGGTTCTTCAATTGAGCCGATGCTAAATGCCGAATCATCAAACGGGCCGTGTTGAAGGGAGACCCAAAAATAAGATTAAACATGATTACACTGATGTGATTTGTCTCATTACAGCTCAAACTTCACCAATGTGTGATTTGCGCAGCCAAGCAGAGAGGACAAGTGTTCCATTAAAGCCTTTCTTTGCTCATCAACTGGCTCCCCAGGACCCTTGTATATGTAATACGCATGGCCACTCGTTGGCATCATCAAAACCCCGAGCGTGGATAAAAGCACTTAATAGGGAGCCACATTACTGGAAGCCTCGGTAATGACTTGTTTCTTCCCATTACTCTAATTCAGCTCCTGCCCTCAGCCCCGAATCATTAAAGCTAGTTAAAAGAACATACGGGACAAAATGCAACAGAAAAGAAAATCCTTATAAATTCGACATAGCAAAAACCGCAGTGATAAAAAAAAAAAATCATCAAGAAACAGAGTTAATTCAACTTTAGTTTATTGATATTTTACATGTTGGACACAATTAAATGAATGTCAACTTATTAGTAATGCTAACCCTTAAGTTATCATTTATTTCATCATTTGTCTGTAACATTGAATAATTTATACATTTATACATTTTATATTGTATCAGATTGAATTATCTATATTAGATATTTGTTTTTGATCAACTGATGTCCTGTGAATCCAAATCAATTTATCATTAGTAATGGTTATCACAAAGTGCACCTACAATGTGACGAGTGCACAGGACACACTCACACCAACTGTAGTCTGCTGTAACGCACAGTGAGCATATTGATCAAATGATGGAATATCCAAAAGGAGCAGGATGAATGGTTGACATGTACATGTGTACGTAGTAACCCAAATGAAAATCCATCTAACTGTCGTTCACATCTGCCAGTCAGTGATGCTGTCCAAAGCGGACTGAAAGAAATAACACCGGCCCATTCACGCCATCCCTATTACGACTTCCAGATGTATCTGCTACAAATGTTCCTTAATGTTAATTGACAGGTGGAGGCTGTGGAGCAGGGAGTGCAGGGAAAGTGAGTCTTCAGCCTACAGAGACCAGGAAGAGGAGCGACAGGGCCAGACTAGATCATGGGTCGAAGGTGATGATGGCGGGCTTGAATAGCAGACCATCCAGAGCCAGACTCGTAAGAGGATACAGCTCCGAAAAAGACCATGTTTGTCACCCACATCTTTTGAAATCAAGTGACAGAGTGAGTGAGTCAAGAAGGTCCGTTGTGGCTGTGAGGCAACACAACGCTCCTACGACGGCGGCTGCTACGCCTGGTACTCCCCCGATGACTCCCAAGCAAGGCGACGTAGGGCGTCTGCAAGGAGCCGGAGCAGCACAACATGGTCCTACGAGTCCTGTGGACGCTCCAGGAACCCAACTCACCCAACCAAAAGGTAATCACATCTGCACCTAAAGTGCTCAATCTGTTTTTCTGAATGTTGCGACAGGATGTAGTTGTGTCCAATATCTGACTCTTCAGCCAGTATGCACATCAATGCATGGTTTCCATACAGTGTGCCTACAAACACCAACGGCCTGCTGTATGTTCACATCTTAACACTGCTTATACACCAGCATTAATAACATTGTAGGCCCATATGGAGACTAGTCTCAGCTGTTTTGCATAGTTACATCTTTGCACTTCTGTTGGAAGCATAAATTGAGCTATTGTCATTGAGCATTACAGCTGCTGCCCCAAACCCAGTTAGGGACTTCTGGGCTCGGATTACAGTAAATCATGTCATATAATAATCTTTAATCAAAAACATGAATTCAATTATTAGTTTGGTTTTACAATAGAAAGATGGGTTAACCCTTGAATGCTCTCCATTGTGTTTTTATACATTTTTATTACATTACATGTTATTTAGCTCACTCTTTTATCCAAAGCGACTTACATTGCATTTTTAACCCATAGTTTTTACCTTTTGCCTGGGGAGCATCTCGGGTGCTCAGGGACACTTCAACGTGGGAAATGAAGCCGCCAGGGCTCAACATTTGTTATATATCATGCTGCATTGGTGTTGTTTCAAGGGATGCACCTAATTCATGTCAAATTGTACTTAACTTCCATGTTTTCAACCAAGCTATTAAAGTACAGAGATCTTGCAGGCAGAAACGCAGGATATTTAAGAAGACCTCTCCAAGAAGAAAGGTACGTGTCAGGTTGACTTGTTTCCAACAAATCAAAGGGAAACTACCTACCATCTCTACTTTCTTAAATGACCCAGTCGTAGTCATTGTTTCATGTTGTTGGTGACTGCTGACGTCTCATAGTTGGTTAGCAGAGCTTCTCTTGTCTGAATCATGAAAATGTTTTCAATGATGCCCCAAACATGCCCCTGAAATGCTGCACGTAATATTAAATAAACATGAGAAAAGCTGATATTTTTTGTGTGCCACTCACAGGCGGTCAAAGAAGGCAAGCCGTGCTCTTTGGGCCTCTACTGTTCTGTGTGTGAGACGGAACTACTTCCTGAGGCACACGGTGATTGTTGAGAACTTCCTGTTGAGTTTAAAGTTGCAATTAAATAATGTGAGTCCAACAAGGAATCAAAGCAAATGCATTTCCGCGCTCATGCCCCCCCGGCCCCCCTCAGGTGCACTGCAACGCGCTGTTTGTCAATTTGAGCATCAAGCCTTTCTGACAAGAGACAGACGTAGTCCCGCAGCACCGAGCCGCCGGTGCCACTGTGCTCCACTCCAGCCGTCGGTGTCGGAGGGCTCGGGCCCACTGCTGGTGGTCCGGGGCCTGGCATCGAGGAGGGCCCTGAGGGCCGCCCTGCAGCCCTACTGTGACAGCGCTGTGACTGGTGGGTCTAGACTAGAGCACTATTAAAGGTTGATCGTGAGTGACACATCTTATACTTTGCAACTTATCCTGCATGTTTTTCCATCAAGAAAGGGAAATGCCTACACAGCTCATGACTGATATCATATCAGAGGGAGAGGGGCTGTCGTAAGCTGTACGTATTTGTGGTTAGCTATGTTGGGCTACATGAAACCAAATTTGAAATGAACTTTTAGAAGAAATCACTAATGATAATTGTAGAGGGAAATTGTAAAGCAGAATACACTCAGGCTCTTCCCACTCCTGCGGCTGAAACCAACTTTAACATTCACAGCAAGAGGTAGACCCAAAATGGCGCATGTTTCTCCCTGCAGTGATGTTCCATGCTTTCCCCCTGCTATTCATCCATGCAGCATATAACGCCATCTGGAATCCTGCGAAGGGCTCGGTCACCACATTTCTGCAGTGCAAAGGCTGCCTGTCCCAAAGCCCCTTTCTGTCTGCAGCAATAGTCGCAGCAGAGATCCAGTGCCCTCGGGACATGGCCCGAGATCAGGTAACCTCTAACATTTACAACACACATGGTCATTTAGCAGGAAGCACAATGATGATTAAAATAATCCCTTATTTATATATAACATATGGGGAAGAATTCTGAAGATTTTCTTTCAAATAGATATGGTGAAGGAGGTAACCCAATGATAATTGATTGAAGTATATTTACATATCTGCAGTATTACAAACTGGCTTTCCTGGGGGAAAATGCGACATTACAGTTTTCCTTCATTGTTTGTCAATAATAAATTGAACTTTGCATCATCAACACTCCAGACTGAACTTCTGTTTCTTTTTGAATGTTTTCATTCAAATCAAAACTAGACAGTCAAAGGTCTGCAAGAGAATGGATCATTCCATATGTTCCCAGTGGTAGTTTGCGTTTCTGTCTCCAAGACAGTTTTGATGTGTGACTGTGGAGGTCAATCCGACAGCTGGAGGTGTCTTTCTTCTTCCATATCCTCAATGATCAATACAAGACAAATTAGTGGAGCCCCTCTGCTTCTCCTGTTGTTTGTCACTTGTACCTTTAGCTAGTACGAATTGGACACATGCTGTGTCAATCAATAACCCCCCCCCCCCCCCGCTATAATCGGATTAAAAGTGGTGACGGCACCGAACAGTGTCACAGCTTCTAGGAATGACTCGGTCGGGATTTATAGCCTCATTGATTGATTGGTAATCCTTATTAAGCTGTTTTTTTTAATGCTATAATTTGTCCATGGTTGCTATTAAAATGGTATTGGACATTTTGACAAATTCCTGCATTTCTAATACAGGATGTTTATGTAAACCTCATCTCTTCTTCAGTTGAAGTATATGTCAAGCTTTCGAATCATTTGGGGAGGCTGTGGCTTATTTTCAGTGAGTTAAAAATGCGCTGGCGGATGATGCATTTATTAAATGTTTATTGCTTCTATTCATTTATCTGATATAGTAGAGAAGCGGTGCGTTTTTTATAGTTCTTCACAAAGATTTCTACATAATGGAAATCTGCTAATTTGGACTGAAAACTAATTCTGGCAATGTTCCCTTGTATTGTTGTTTTAAATATTTTTCTTATTAATTTATTCCACCACTGTCTAGCTGTCCTCTTAAGCTGTCGTATCATTAAAATGTAATCCAAACTGCTGCCAGGAGTATCCAGTGGTAACATGGCAGGTTTAAATGCCAAACACTGTCGAGATTATCACTGTGACCTGTCAGATTAAATAGATTTGACCCCGATTGACGGGTAAATTCAGGTTAAACGAACTTTCCAAACTCTGCGGAACTTTCAAACCAGCGTTATCTATTTGCCTTGTTCCAGTCGTTTTGTTTTTACACAACATGGATTTTATATACACATGTGACACACATTCATTTTTCTTTTATCAAATTGCCTAAAACCAAGTAGCTAAAAGAAAATGATGAATATTGTGTATTAGTTATTCTTTAACCAAGTGGTTCTCCAAACACTGTTTCACTATCTGCAAACAAAAACATGTTCATTAAGAGTAATTTGACCTTTTGGAAGGGGAAGTGTTGACCGCTAGGAATTATTGACAAATGATACAATGTATACTGTCATATATGTCACACTATCTGGCCCCCATCACAAAAGCAAAACAAATATATCCCCAATTGAAACTTAATTTGTAGACCAGGCCAAGCATCTCAATAACATTTTTATAACAATAACAAATTTTTCCTGCCACCCATATTTTGGAACAAAGACGAACATGCTATTTTCTCTTGTGCTTTGACTTGTGTGTTGCCACTGTAGATACCAGTCACCACTCTCCTCTCACAGTGCGTGATAGCCTTGTTTGTGAAATTGCCTAAAGATTTTGGCCATCTGGAGCCCAGTGTGAATCTGACTAAACCCAGTGGCTAAACACACGTCTCTGCCCCCCTCTGCCACAAGGGGGTTTAGGACACACTTTGGTCCACCCTTCACTGTTTTCTGGACCCTCGCATTATGCATTTCAAAGTTCCTGCTGTTCCGTTGTGAGTTTGACAGACACCATATTGCTCGTAAAGCTTTGGAGTCTGTCTGGGTGCAACCGCCAGACACCCCAACACTGCACGGGGCCCGTGAACGGGCTCCAACACTTTTGGCTTTAGGTAGGACACGTTCACAACAGCTTCACCGATATCGTCGACCACTGTCAGACTGACCCGTTAATCTCAATTTTTCTTGAGCCCGCCATCGTTTATTGCTTAAGCATCTGTGTCAAAACATGTCGCTCCCCACTCCTCCAACACCTGCCTTAAAATGTGTCCATCTGACATGACAGTACTTACTGCGGGGGACATTTTGTTTAATAACTGTTCATGTTCAGGAAAACAAGAGGACATGCGAACCCCCATGTGGGTTTAATGTGCTTTATTACAGCAGCCATGAGGTTGTAGGCCTGCAAGCTCTGATATGGTGACCTTTTAATAACTGTCATGCACCAGTGGTTATTGAAGGTGATTATTTTCGTCTGAGTGATTTATTCTGTCCAGTAGTTCCATTTAAATGTAAGACGTAATCCCGTGATGTGGTTTTTAAAGTTTGTGCTTGTGTTGCTACTATTAAAAGTTACTTATTTCTGTATAAAGAGACAGAATGTCTGCTTTATGTGCAATAGAACAACAAATGGATGTTTTACAGACATTTGTAATGTCATTAGAAAATGCTCCAACAAAACAACGTTGCATTGTTTGCTTCCCAATAGAGAAGCGATAAAACTTGTTCTATGTTTTATGACATAGTTTTCTTCAATCACATCTTATTTGAAATGGGCTGCTGTGGAGCATTAGGTGAATAGCTAATGAAATTGATTTCTCAAGGCATATGTGGCCTGATAAGGATTGCTTGAACGGATCATCTCGTGGTGGAGGGTCTTTAGCAATCTGTCTGCTGGAGCAGCTGTTAGAACTTGGCTTGAGTCATAGGTTTGGAGCTCCTTGGATAATAAACCCAGATTTGTTTCAGAGGGTCAGTGGAATTAGACACCTAATCTGCCTATGTGGTTTTATAAATTGACTAATCTTGATATAGACATCCGTTGTTGGGGCTCATCTTACTGTGCTTACACAATAAGCTGGGTAATGCTATAAGTGTGATTGTGGCAACCATTTGTCAGCTGAAAGCCTGATGCTTTTTAGTTGCATATTGTAGTAAGGTCTCAGCAGGAGAGCATTAAGTACTGGCAATCAGCCATATATGCAACCTTACCCTGTTTATGAGAGAACACTGACCGAGATAAGAATCTCTGATCCCTTAAACTACTTAACTTCTTTGTGTAGTATTATGTTGAAGTTTTTTCTGGAGCTTCTTGTCTGGATGTACACAAGGCAACACGTTCATTTGTTGGGTTTTGTTTTAGACACCATGCTGTCAGGTATGAATCAATCTGTGCCTCCCTTTATGGCAATTGGTCACCAATTGGGTTCAACTGTTTATTATTATTATTTATTTAAATTTGACTGTGCAGAAACGTATAATAGTTGTTGATGATTATCCAGCTCCATTTAGATTCTCGTCTCATTGATTCATTGATTGAGTCCGTATCCCTTTTTTCGATTATTGGATTGCATTTATTGGGGATGTAACAAGATGTGTTACTCTGCAACAGTCGATAGCATTAATTGATCTCCTCAAGGTGGCCTAAGGCTAAGAGCATTAATTTTGACCCCTATCATAATTTACCGCATTTCCCCTGTTAGCTTTTCCCTTTTAGCCATGCTGGCGTGCGTCATGGCTCGAGGCATCGCCATGTCCCTCTGATGGAACATCTCACTTATGGTTGGACATTCATCAGTGGATGAATCCTGCTGGACCTTTTCTCTAGGGCCACCAGCAGGTTGATATTGTTTGCTTTAATTGAAATATTTGAATGTCTAATGTCTAACGCGCCGCCATCAGGTCCATCACTCTGTTATTTTACAGTACCTCATAAGTAATGACTTTCTACTTACTACTTAGTTTGTTTGCACACTAAAAACTGGCCGGAGTGCACATTATCCCTGCCTATCATCAGCATGTCAACATCGCGAATATGATATGGGAATAAGTCAAATATAGACTTTTTAAAAAACATACCGAACTACATGAGCTTTTTCTAAAGTGATGGCTCTATTAGTTGAGTAAACATCGAATGTTTTCACCCGCAGCGCTAACATTATATTAGGATGGTCTGTCCTCAGATTTGGAGTACTTCACAAAAAGATCTGGAAGATGAAATTTGACTTGAAGATAAATACTGTATATATTTGATGTCATCCAGATAGTTAATGTCCCTTGTTAACATGGCTTCTAAAACAAAACTCATATATTGTCTAAAAGACCATGAGATCCTCACACTAAAACCATGCCATCATGTCACGTCATGACACGTCTACAACATGACAGCTGGATCAGGAGGCCATTGCAGCAAAACATCTCCTTATTGCCCGCTGCTCTTAGTCACCAAATGTGATTCCCAGCTCCATGCTGTAGTTTGCATCACTTGAAGAGACTCTTTCGTAAATCTGTCTTGGGAACATTTGCTTCTCATTTAGGAATGGCACTTGGGTTTGAGTCAAGGGTTTGCTCCGGGGAGATGACCTCTCTGGTTTAAGCAGCGCTCCATTAGCCTGGTGTGCTGTTCAAAGGAAAGCACAGTCTCCCTGTAAGACCAGATGATTTATCAGCACAAAGGCGCTCTATCTTCCTGAGTCTCAGACCGAGATGGTAGCCATCACTGAAATCCTTCACAGGCTTCCTCCACCTGCCATTAGATGGTATATCACACGGCCCCTGCTGGGCTTGTTGAGCCGTTCGGTTTAAGATACCGGGGACACGATAACAACGATTCAGGAAGTAAAGTTGGAGTTGCAATGCACAATGGTTTGTAAAGCGCACATATGTATTCGTGTTGCGACACTGTTAAAACCTGTCAGTCTGAGATTCTGTGGCAAAAATGGTGAATGTTCTGAGGTGAGTGTAATTCACTAACACAGTTTTGGAAGATGTTTATCTATTATGTTGTC